ATAATCAATTTAATTTTTTTTAATTAACATATTATATTATTATAATTTTTTTTACCATCTTATTTGTATTAATATATTATATTATTAAGTATTTGTTTTAATTATATTACAACATATTGTAATTGACTAAGTTTTGAAGATATTTTTTAGTCATTTTATATTTTTGTCAGCTAGTTTTAAATCAAATATGATTTATTCATCAGTTGATTTATCAATCATCAATTAGTTTTTTCATTTATAAAATTCTGTTGTAAACAAAAATCAATTAATGTATAAAAATGGAATGCTCAGATGCGCTGTGATTCGAAAGATCGAACGACTGTGATGACCCAGCATCACATGAGCGCAGGAGTCCTCATCGCAAATCCATAGGATGCACCAGCCGGGAATCGAACCCGGGTCTGTACCGTGGCAGGGTACTATTCTACCACTAGACCACTGGTGCTTCATGCTTAATTCACTCTATGTTATATATATAATGAAATAGGACATCTCATCATCCAACACTCGAGATATATATATATATAACGGTGACGTGGCAAAATATCAATCAAACCCGCAGGCCCAACGAACGCCCCACCCTTTAGTGTGTGAAATACGAGGTGCTGAGCAACGGTGGTCGGAGTCGGGAAATGGCGGTCACGCTGGTTTCTTGTTGTCGTCATCACCATCAATTCTTATCTTCCTTTGAAATCGCGAATCAAATTCCGAGGAACAGAATGATGAGCTCCATTCGTTGTTCTTCTCCACCATTCAATCCGGTTGTCAGGTGATTCAATCTTACTTTTCGATTGAGTTCGTACGAATTCTCAGTTTTTCAAGGGCTCAGTTATTTCAATGGCGTCTGCTCCATCAATTCCTGATTATGCAAGTTTCGTTGTAACGTTAGTGTTGATAATCTGTAGCAGATTATGCGCGTTGGATGATGTTTCCGAAAGGCTTCTGATTGTTTGTTGTCTTGTAGGCCTGAGTTGTGTATTCGTGTTGGAACTCAACTCATTCCACACCCCAAAAAGGTACGTTCGCTTACTGTACATACAAAGTTTCTTAGCCGTCGGATCAACCTTTCTTCATCAATTTCTTTGTAGGCTGCCAAAGGTGGGGAAGATGCTTTTTTTGTGAGCAGTTACAACGGGGGAGTTATTGCTGTTGCAGATGGTGTTTCTGGGTAGATTTTGTTGTTTCTTTTGATGTGTTAAGTGGACGCTTATTTCTTCTTAAAATTCCAGATAGCAACATCACCCAAAATACTGATAAGATTTGTCATTCTGAGAATACGTGGAACCCTATCAAATTACTCTTAGAAAAATCCATCAAGGAGAGAATGGAGGTTCCAACCTATATTAAGGAGAAATGGTCCAAGTCTAGCTGATGTGGACTCTAACACACCCCCTTCAACAGAGGCTAGACTGCACAGATTGTGCCAGAGTGTCGAGAGGGACCTAGACGAGTACAGGTTGTCCAAAGTATCGAGTCTCTAGAGTGGTAGACATTGGCTCTGATACCATGTAGACGGTCACTATACAAAAACCAAGCAAATGTGGACATACAACTGGGAATTAAAAAAAGATTATGTTTGATTTGTGAATATCGTCCTAAACTGCATATCCATGATCTGTAGGTGGGCAGAAAAGGATGTCGATCCTGCACAATTCTCTCGAGAACTAATGAGAAAAGCTTCGTCTTTAGTTGAGGATGAGGAGGTACCTATCCTCTCTCTCACCCTTTATTTGAGAAAAGCTTCGTCTTTGGTTGCTTATTTCTAACTCGTTTTTTCAAATTTTAGCACTGCGTTTATTGTCTTCAACTTCTTTTTTCTCGAATGTTTCTCTTATGTGCTTTCCTGCAAGTAAATCTCTTATTTTTCTATACTATGCACTAGTCGGAGGTCTTCACGGAGACAGCCGCTCTGTTAGCAGGAATATTCTAGAATGGAATCCAACTTGATCCCCAATTAAGACTGTCCTTAGATGTAGATTTTTGTAATTATCTTGTATTTGTAATTATATTTACATGGTCAATATACCTTCTTAAGGCATATTGACCATGTATATATAATTACAAATACAAGATAATTTTGGAAATATGATCATCAAAAGAATCTACAATTAAGAATAGTCTTGGGACCAAGTTGGATCCCTTTCTAGAACATTCCTGCTAACACGCTCTACTCTTTGGGTGGAAGTCAGGTTGCGTACATCTCACCCTCTCCAGACCGCACCTTCGGGTGGGATATATTGGGTTTATTTGGTTTGGTTAGGTTATTTGGTTTCGTTACAGGTTAACTACGATCCTCGGATTCTTGTTAGAAAAGCACATGCTGCCACCTCTTCCACAGGTTCAGCTACTGTGTATGTTTTGACATGTATTTCAACCGATCCCGTATCACTTAGTGCGTGCACATTTAATTCTGCTTCCAATATTTACATTAATGCTTTCGGCCTCGTAGAATCATATCCATGCTAGACAATGACGGGATTCTGAAGGTTGCCAATGTTGGGGATTGTGGACTTCGAGTTATTCGCAAAGGTCATACAAGATTTCAACATGCCGTTTAACCTTAAATACCATTAAATATCCTCCTTCTATCGATGTTCTTTATTTACTTATAGTGTTCCTATAAATCTCGAGCTTTTAGGTCAAATAATCTTTTCCACGTTTCCGCAAGAGCATTATTTCGATTGTCCATATCAGTTGAGCTCAGAAGCGGTCAGCCAGACGTATCTAGATGCCACGGTAAGAAGGTTCATAGATCTACCAACATGTAAATTACTTGTGCGACCAAAATCCTCTCGCCTTATATGCCTGCTGTAAGAATTTCTTGTATTGCAATCTGCAAATGGCTATATGAGTCCGCTCTGAGACCACGATAAATGGGCTTGGGTAGAACTCACTCCCAAAAGCTAGCTCAAAGAAGGAGGATGTCAAACCATATACATATATATATATATATATATATATAGAGAGAGAGAGAGAGACGGGTTCAAACGAGAACAAACATATCTAAGAGCATAAGCAAACGGCCGAGTTACATGTGATTTTACACTAATATCACGTACAAAATCACATGTGATTGACACGACTTTGCCCTGCAACCTGAAGTCGCGGCCAAAGTCGCGCACACACCTTTTTTGACCATTAATGTAAAATCATATGTGATTTGACTGTTTCTGTATTCTCTTTAATAGTTAGCATTCTCGTTTGATCCTCCCCCAAGGGTGGTTTCATGTGAGAACCAAAAAGAAATTGAGAATCGGAGAACCTTGACATTCATTGATGCATATATAGTAATGAATTTTAGTGGGTATATGCATCAATGTATACTTGCATATATAGTAGATATGTATTGATGAATATATTCATTGACGGAAGACATATTTTGATAGTATATATGCATCAATTAACATACGAGTTATCCAGTTTCAAATTTTTTGTGGTTCTCACATGAACATGATCCTATATATATTGAGAACTCCAAAATTTGTGAGATCTGTGAGAACTTCTACTTGAAGGTTTTGTTTCACTTGATTGTTTTCCATCTAAGTATAGTACAACATATATTTGTTTCACGACGTGTTTGTTTCATATATATTCGGCTCACGATGTGAAACTTTTTTACGTGTAATTTTTGTTTCACAAATACGCTAAAAAGGTCCACCTTGTGAGCCGAGTACATGTGAAACAAACACATTATGAAACAAATATATGTTAATCACTACATTAAATTCTAGCCATAAATGAAAAAAAAAATATCATATGAAATAGCACATGATGCACTGTTTCTCAAAGATCTCACGATTTAGAGAGTTCTCAAAAGAAGGTCCCCCTACTTTAGTACCGACATTTTCCCTGAAGGAGCTAGAAAATCATTTTTATATATTCGTATTTCTTACATTATCTATACACAACCACAGGTTACCAGTATTGATACAATGAAGGGAGATATCATCGTTATGGGTTCAGATGGGCTTTTTGATAACGTGTTCGATCATGAAATCCTATCAACGATAGCCAAACATAACGATGTCATGGAGACCGGTAACTATTTCTAGAAACTTCTTTATCAGATGTTTAGAAGCAGCCACTCAGCTTCAAGTTCCATGAATAAGCTTTGGTTTCAATGCTAGCAAAGGTATTGGCTGATCTTGCTTACAAGCATTCCGTGGACTTCTACTTCGATTCCCCATATTCGATTGAAGCCAGAACACGAGTAAGTGTTTCTTCCCGTTACTATCAGGTTCATGTCGAGTCCGTAGGCAGAGGCAATAAATAACTTGTGCACTTCTATTTCTTGCTCAGGGGTTTGATGTTCCGTGGTGGAAAAAAGTCTTGGGACAAAAGCTAACAGGCATGACCAACGAAATTTAGTACCTCTTTATATAGTTTTATCTGCTCTACTATTTGAGAGTAGAGGTTAGGTCTGCATACATTTTATCCTCCCCGAACCCCACCTCCAGGTGGAATATATTGGGTTCTTTTGTTTTGGTATATAGTTTTACCGAAGGGTTTTCACATAAACAGTTGCTCTACTCTTTGAGTGTAGAGATCAGGTTTACATACATTTTACCCTCCCCGAACCCCACCTCCAGGTGGGAAATACTGGGCCTCGTTTGGTTTGGTGTAGTCTTACTGATGGGTTTTCACATAAACAGTTCCTCTACTCTAAGGGTAGAGTTCAAGTCTGCATACATCTTACCCTCCCCAGGATATACTGGTTTCGTTTGGTTTGGTGTGAACGAGCCATAAGGATCAACTGTTATGTTCATGTGCAGGTGGAAAGATGGATGATATAACTGTAATTGTTGGAGAAGTGGTCAGCAATTGATTATATATGTTCATATTTTTTGGCTGAATTCAGATTTATTCACTATATATATTTGATTGTAAATTTTGGAGATTTTTGTAATGGATAATCATTACAACTTGTAACAAATGTGTCTTTGTAAGTTTAGTATGCCTTACACAAACTCCTCTTTACATCAGCAAGGGTTTTGGGAAAAAAACAAATGGATCCTAACCTGTGATATACAGAGCAAGTCCCGCTCTGAGTAGGGTCTAGGAGAGGTATGATGTATGCCGATATTTCTTCTAACTGATGTTTTTGTGAACACCTCTGGCTTGAGTATTACAGGTTAATAAATATTATATACTGAAAAACCACAAAAAAAAATACCAAACCTTTACAATAAAACATTGTGAAATAACCACAAGGGTGGTGCCTTCAAAAGTACCTGAAGGTCTCAGGTTCAAATCCAAAGAAAATAAAAATTCCCTTGTGGTTACAAAGGTTCAAATGCAACTCCAGGCTATCCGCAAAGCAGGTGGTCGTCCTGAGATTAGTTTGCTCGCATAACGAGTTTGGATATCCAGATTAATTAAAGATACACACTGTGAAATACAAAAAAACATTGAAATTTCACAACAAAGACATTATAAAGGTACAAAAACAAACCTTCATAGTGTTTTTGATGTAAACAATCAATGTGTTTTTGTGCCTTTACATCTGGTCACACAAAAACAGCACAAGAATCCAACCCAATAATCGTATTTGGCTGGTTTTTTAAATCATGTCTAAAATGAAACTGTTATTTCAACAATCAACCAAAAAGTGGTATCAGAGCAGTCTCGTGTGATAGCGCTTCACTCACCATTACCATATTTAGCAATAATCGTAATGATGGAAAAATTCCTACCCATAAATCTGCAAACTCGATGATAAATAATTTTGAACCCAATAAACAACAGATACAGCTGCTAATCTCACAAGCATGCCATAAACAATTATACCAACCAAGCCCGGCCTCCGTCTCGTCGATCGTCAACAAATCGACTAACGATTTTAGAGCTCCGCAATAAATACATAACGCCTTGGAATGGAAGTATGTGGGTCTCGGCTTGGAAAACTCTTTATCTTTTCTTTCTACGTGACAGCTATCCTCAATACAAGAACACGAGGAAAAAACTGAATTGTCGGTTTCTGTTTTGTAACTATCTTAAGTCATCCTGCTACTTCTGTCGTCGCTATTTAACTCTTGAAAAAACGACTTTCCAGCTTCGTAAGTCGACCAGCAGATGGCAGCAGCTGGAGCATGAAACATCATTCGTGGCATCCATCCTCTTAAAAGCCCCCTGTATCCATCTTTTTTCACAATTGTTCGTAAAACATCCCTAATAGAACCGTTCACGTATCGATCACATCCGCACACACCCTGCATTGGAAATCGACCCATTGTCAAATTTCAACTCATAAAAGAAAATATTAAATAAAGATATACCAGCGATAAATGTTGTATTTCACTACAACAAAATCGGCTTTATAGGACATCAAATATGTCTAAATGTCCTAATAGATTGTTTTATAAAACTTGAGATTATATGACCAGCAATACTGCATCCTATATAAGGGTGTTACAATAGGATGTTAGGACGTATTTACACTTTTGAAATAAAGTATCCTATTAGCTTTTTTTTATAGTCAAAAGTGTTCCATGAACAAGATCCTTTTATAGGACTATTGTTTATATAGGACATGTTTTCAGATGATGTCATATAACGTTTTATTTCAAAAGTGTTCTAAGTGTCCTGTCAACTTATTGTAACATTTTTAAATAGGACATTTATGTCATGTTTGCTAGCAGCTTAATGGGACTCGCAACTTATTCAGTCAGCTATAATGACTGTTTGATAGTGGCTTAATGGATAGAAAATGGCTCATTCAGTAAGCTTCTAGGGGAGAGCTTTATGCAAAAAACCAAGTTTTTTCCCAAATCTGCCCCTCCCAAATAAAAAACACGCTCCTTTCATCTATGAAAAAACCTTCCAAACAAAAACCTTCCAAAGCTATATAAACAGATTAATCCACACAGACAGCCTTATCCATACAAGATCTAATAGAAAACCAACCAAACAACCCCTTTAATTTGGCATTTGTTGATGCTAAACCTTATGGATTTGTTATTTAACCTGTTGATAACACTAAGGGCTAGACTCTAGAGAGAGTGCACCAGCTCATTATGATTCATACAGATCAACACAACTTTTAAGGAAATATACAATTACAAGAAACTGATAATAATAGTTGGATTCACAGAAAAACAAAGAACGATCTCAAATCAATTGTCACATTTCTGAAATAAAACCAAAAGCAATCGAAGAAGAGTGAAGAACAAGGGTAAAACGAGTTCTGATTCTATAATCCCGTCTGAGTTTCAACATCTGAAGCCACCGGATTCACAGAGCCCAAATAGATGCTTAGAAACTCATGAAATAATGTTGGATACTAATTTTTCTTTTCTGAAACCGCAAACAAGCTCACATACCTATGTCTGAACTCATTGAAGGTGGGGTTTGGGAAGGGTAAGATATACACAGACCATATCTACCCCAAAAGAGTAGAGCGGCACCGAAGATTATTGCTACAAAGTAAATAAAAAATACCAAGCCACTCTTCAGGTCCTCGGCACAAGATATGTGATGCAAATAAGATCCTGAAAAGATCTTTTTTTGTTGGATACAACCTTTTCAGGAAATATAGCTCAAACAGCGAACCTATGTGCAGATTGCAACTGATTGATTATGAAAACAAGAAACAAAAACAAAGGGTTCCGTTAAATCTCTTCCAACATCTACGAAAAATTAGCCAAGTTTCACCAAGTAAACTAACAAAACACTGATCCACAAAACTCAGCCGGATAACACTCTAATATGGTTTTAACATAGACCAAACGAACCATAACAAAGTTCCAATTATCCTTCATCGAGGTTTTTATTTCACATTTATTTGATCATTGGACCTAACATCCTTCTCCTCACATCAGCAGGGGAGGATCTTGGTGTTCATCATGCATATTAATCAAATAACATAATCAAAAGTCTTTCCTGTTAGCTTACTTAGATCCTTCCTAACCTGTCTATGAATCTTTTGGAGGGTATTCTCACATGGTATCAGAGCCAAAGTCTACCACTTTAGGGACTCCACACCCTGAGACAACATCTTTTTTACTCATCTAGCCCATTTTCGACACTATGGGACAATCTGTGTCCATCTAGCCTCCATTGGAGGGGGCGTGTTAGAATCCCACGACTTGGACCATTTCTCCTCGTATATTTTGAAACCTCCCTTCTCTCCTCAAAGGATTTTTGGGAGAGGAAATCTGGTGGTTACACATATTCTTACAATATACTAGAAGAATAGGTAGGTTTTCCAGTAAAAACGAACAAGAGGTGAATCTTCCATTTATAATATCAATGGGCCTGTTTCAAGACATAACCAGCTACTTGATGTCTCTGAGCCAAAGCTAGCTCATCAGAACTAGCGAATTTGCCTAGAGTTTCACCTTCTTGTTGCTTCTATGCCTTAAGTTACAAATCTTTTAACTTCTTCTCTATGAACCCAGAAGAGTTTATTTTCTACTCGAGTTACTCATAAGAAGATTTTGAAGCACAAACTATAGCTTAACATTCAGACAAGTGCCAGACCCATATGAGGGTGTGGCATTCACTTTTGTCACTATGAACTTAAACCAAACCAAACCAAACCAAATGGACACAGTAAATACCATTCGAAAGAAGGGTCTGGAAAGGGTGAGATGTATGCAGACTTGGCTTGTACCCCAAAGAGTAAAGTAGTTGTTTCTGTGAAGACCCCCGCTTGTGCAAGAGTGTGAACAAACAAGTAGAAGGAATAAAGATTAGCAGGTGGTGAATGAAGCACAAGAAAAATATGTAGTCACTATCAACTTATGGATGGAAAATGCTTGACATTTACAATGTTCCCAAGCTTTCGCAAGGTGATATTAGGAATTGGACTAAGAGATATTGATAAATGTATAACCTTCCAAAAACATGCAACAGTTAAACTTTTTTTTTTCTTACTAGTTAACTTCTCTTAAAAGCAGAGGTCATGTCAGCATACATCTTACCCTCCCCAAACCCCACCTCCAAATGGGATTTACTGGGGTCGTTTGGTTTGGTATTTGCCCTGCGTTAGCCCCACTTATTTTCTAGACCTAGTGCCTGTTCAAATTGATTAACAAATATTTACTCATCCTCTAGTGACCAATCCAACATTCATGAGACAATTTACTCTTCAAAAACCATGAAGGCATCAATTACACATTTTGATGATGATATCAGCACTAAAACTACATCAAATTATAATCGATCAATGAAGGGTACGACCTAAATATTGTGAAGAACACATTATGATGATGATATCAGCACTAAATATCCCTAAAACAGAATTTCATAATGATATCAGCACTGAGATTGTAAAGAATTGAGCTTTCATAAACATAAATGTTCTTCCCTAAAACAGATTTTCGTTCTTGAATAACCAATGGAACAATTAACAGAATGCTGTTTCTTTCGAAGAAAGATGAATTTGAAATACCTGACACTGCAGTTGAGTTTTCACAACATCAAGTGGAGTAGTCACGGCAGCAGCCAATGCCCCTGCCGCTGCTCCGGCCGTAGCATGAACCACCAACCGTTCATCGCCGGCGATGTCCGGCGAAACTCCCAATAACCCCCTCTTCGCCGCCTCATAGGTAGCAAAGTGTACCGCCGTGAAAGGCGCATTCATCAAAATCGTGGTCCGATACGAAGCATAAAAAGCCCCAAAACCTTCTTCTTTCAAAACCGTTCTCACACAATCGAAAACACCCTTATACGGACTTCCGCTACCTAACTGCAACCTCTGCTTCACCATATCCATCGGAGTAAACACCGCATCACTTGCCACCGTCGCGAAAACCCCCGCCGCCGCATGGGCCACCGGATTATTAGGGTGTTGCCTCGAAAACGCCTCTTTACACATCTCGTATACAGAAAAATAAACAGCGTGTGCCGGACCTGCACCAAGTCCCATCGCTCCGATTCCACGGTAAAGGCCGGCGGGACCATCCGACTTGAGTATCGACTGGAGAGCTTGTCGGAGCCCCACAGATTTAATCGGGCATGATCCTAATACTTGCATACGGGTTTTAATTGTGTCAATTGGGAACATGGCCATGTGTTCCACCATGCCGGCGATGGACCCAGCGATCATAAACTGCCAAAAGTGAAGGCCATCGTGCGCCGGCGAAACGGTGATTTCCGGGTGATAATCTGGTGGTTGTGGGATCGGTATAAGATCAGATTTCTTGAATTTCGCTGCTTCCGTCGTCGCCATCGAAAAGAATAAGAAAGAAAATCGAAATTATAACACAAATAATAAGGGAATTTTCGGACAAAAACCTTAAATTAGGGTTTTGACATGGTTTTTTCCGATTCGAGATATCTGATATCTCCCACAAACTCGTAGAGAGGGGCATGAGTAATTACACAAATGGTCCCTAAACTATTTCTATCTTCAAGTTTTGGTCCTTTATTTATCTCCAATTTCATCATCGTACTTTAATTTTCTATTTTCTTTTTTTTAAGATTTGTTAAATATAAGGGTTTTTAGCATATTTTGAATGAAAATTTGGGTTTTTAGATACTTATATATTATATTATACAAAATCAAAAAAAAATTATTTTTATTTTTATTAATTATTATTTAATACCTTTAACTAAACACTTTTTTATATTATATACAATTTAAACAAAAGTTCTAAAAACAATTTATTAAACATTATATATATAATTTAATAATGTGTAATTCGTTAAATCTCAAATTTACAAATTATTTATGTATAAATATAAATTTTTAAACTCTAAACATGATAATCATTAAGTCTAAAATGCTTTATCTTAAAAAAATACTTAATTAATTTAAACTATAATAAGGTACATATTTATTTTTTTTAATTTATAACATTTAAATATAATAAAATTTGTATTAAAAAAATTATTCCAAAAAAACTACATTTTTTTAATCTTTAATTTGACATCAACATCGATATATTTTTTTCAGATTTTATTTTACTAGTTCTTCAAAAAAATTAGTTTAATGAGAAACTGCATTAATTTTATTCACGGTTTATAAAAAATAGTATATTCCACTACATCGCACATATATATATATAGCTAGCTATTTTTAAAGAGACTACGTTTTTTATTCTGATGAGTAAGTATTTTTCTAATCATATTAACGATACAAATTATTTATTATGTATTTTAAAATGTAAGGGTTATGTTTATGATTTAATTACAAAATAATTCTTGAAATTTATTGATATTACTTGGTAAGATATATTTTAGTGCCTTTTTTGTATTTTTAACAAGTATAACGGTGATTTATTATAAAAGTACGAAATTTACTGTTTAAAATTTAAGTACCTATTGACCAAGACTCAGGAGAGATGGGAAAGACTCTTCTTGAAAACTGTAACCAACAGTTGTTGAAAGTGTAAACTGTAACAAACAACAATGTCTGGAATCTAAGTGGCATTTGTCCGATAGAACATTGACGTAATATAAGATATGGGTTCCAAGTTAGTCCCACCTACAATGTGACGAAAATGTCCACTTGGAACTATGAGCCAACCACTTTTAATAGGTGACACTAAACTATAATCAGCTATAATTTCATGTTTAAACAGATATGTTTCATCAGGTATTGCTCTAGTGTATCGTAATTGGACGATTGAGATGGATAGAAAACTTAGGGTCACATTTCAATAAATTTTCAAGTTGTTTAGCTTGAGATGGGTATTTTGGTAAAATTTCAAATAGTTCAAGTTGGATTCAAAGTCACCATAATTGTCTTGTGTGCTTAAGTTGGGATCCAAGTTTTTAGGGTTATTTAAATGGTTTCACTAGAATTCAAATTAGGCTCCAAGTTCTTAGGGTTATTCAAGTGGTTTTGCTAGAATTCTAATTGGGCTTCAATTTGAAGCAGTGTCTTGTTGGCCCAACAAAAAAAAGAAAATGGACTAGAAAGAAACCCAAATTAGAGATGGTCAAATGGGCCCGGTCCGATCTGGGATCGGCGAAGGACCAAGACCGGGACCGACTTAGGACCAGCTGGGCCCAGGACCGATTGGGACTGGTTTGGAACCGTCGGTTAAGGACCGGTTATGGTTTTCATCCAAAAACAAGGTCTAGCCCCGCCCGGCCCGAGACCGGTTATGAGCATCATTGTTCCAATGCGGGACCGATTTAGTCCCAGTCAGACCTGGCCCGGGAATGGTTTTTGGCCATCACTAACCCAAACTAAAAACAAAGTGCCATAATCTTAATTTTACTTGTTTTGCAAGAATTCTATCATTTCAAAAATAATAAGTTATGATTATTTTCCATATATACAAGATTCTAATTAGGATAGTATATATCTCAATTGAAATAATAATTTTTTGATTTTGAGAGATTTTCAAATATCCGGTTTCATCTCGTTTCCGTCTTCCATCAATTTTGCTCTGATTATAAGACATCGGTAACTTGGCCTTCGAAATTGTAAACCAACCCAAGAAAAAGAAAGTCGGGCTTTAGTCGCCACTGAAATGACTTTAAAAGATTGAGGCATGATTTCTTTCGCCTTGAAATCGAAGAGTTTTACAAGATCAACCACTGTATCTAGGAAACAATTAGCATTTAGCTTGAAACAATATTTAATAAGATTACTTAAAAAACCTAATTCGTCATCATTGGCAAAAAAAAAAAAAAAAAAAAGGGTTTTCTTGTCCCATAAGATCCCACTCAGTCTATGTTACATGTCGAGTCAAACGTGAACGGTGAAACAGAGGGTTCTATTTTTGTCATATCATGTTCAATCTCAGACACCAAAAGCATAGTTGATTCGATAACACATTTAATCATTAACGTTTATGTGTTAACATATTATCGTCAAGTACATTGATAACATACATCAATCAGTTATTTCGACTATTTAACATGTCACTGATAAATGAGTCGATATCTTTTTTAGCTGACCCTCCTTCATTGGTTGCTTGTCGACATATCTTCTGAACTTCTCTTGCCCTTTTACGCATCTCTTTTCCTTCTTCGCTTTCATGATCCATGAAACTCTTTACGAGTTTCGCGATTTCTTCTCGAGTGACCAAACTACCCTCGTAGTCACTCACCCTCTTTCCCATTTTCCAATCTTGAACGATCATCTTACTATTTGGAACTTGATCCCAAAATAAGGGAAATGTGAGCATTGGCACCCCTGAATAAGCACCTTCTTTGGTCGAATTCCACCCGCAATGTGACCAAAATGCCCCTACGGAACTATGGCACAACACTCGTAATTGCTCACACCAAGGTATAACAATCCCTTTTTCGTCATTTTTGTGTTTAAACCGAGACGTCTCGCCACGTGCAATCCACATGTATCGTACACCGCTCTCATGTACACCCGTGATGATTTCTTCCAATTGGGCATTTGAGACCGAGAGAAAACTCCCTTGTGAGATGTACAACACAGAAGCCTCGGGTTGTCGGTTTAACCATTCCAGATAGTCAGGGGTATTTTCGTCTTTTTTCCAGACAGAGGTATTTTCGTCCTTTTCAACATCAAAGTATGGTATCGATGGCCCAATAGCATATACAGGTAATAAAAGCTCTGATTTTAAGGCATCGAGCACTTTGGCTTCCAGCTCGTAAACCGACACGAAAAGAAGAAACCGAGCTTTAGCCGCCATTAAAATGGCTTGCAGAGCTATCGGAAAAACTTCTTTCCCCTTGCCATTGAAGCATGTCAAAAGATCAAGCACCCGTATCGGAGGGATTCCGGGTAGGTAATCTATCTCTTCCTCCACTTTTTCTGCACAATTTCGAATCAAGCTTCACATTGTATCATGGATCTCCAAGAAATTGAAAAAGACAAATCGGGTACACTATAACAAAGTTGGTTTAGGAGTAAAAAATTCCAAAGTGTCCTAATAATTAATAAACCGTTTTATAAAACTTAATTTTATATGACCAAAAAATAAAGCTTTTTCTTATTAACCTGGATATCCAACTCGCTATGCGAGCCGACTAATCCAGGACGACCACCTGCTTTGTAGATAGCCCGAAGTCTATCGCATTTGAATCTCCGTGACCACAAGAGAATTTTTATTTCTTCTTGGATTTGAACTTGAAACATCTTGATAGCTCAAACCAATCAAACATCACCCTTATAATTGAAAATTAGCTATTTTAGGACATTATTGAAAGAAAGAAAAAAAGTCAAATAAAAAGAGAGGTTTATCACGTCCTATAAAATAACTAATAAGATGATTTGTATTAAAAGTGTTTTAAAAAATTCGTTAAAACGTCTAAAAAATTCATTAAAACGTCTAAAATTTTTGTTAAAACCCTAAACCTTTATTATAGTACGCTTTATTTTTTGGTATAAACCCAATTTTATTGTAGTGTAATTTCAAACGGTGGTGACAAACCACGTCGTATTAGTACCTGAGAAATTATCTCCGACATGGCCGTTTTGAAGGAGGAGATCGTAATGATAAGACATGGAGAAGACAGTCGCCGACATTGTGAAGAACGAAGCCACCGGAATATTCATCCGTTTGCCGAGATTTAATACCCACATAAGGTAAGTATCGTATATAAGCACCGTCGCCGGAACTTCCATCCGGCGGAGTAACTGCTCAACCGGATCCTCTAATTTTGTGAGGGTGGATTTGTAGAAGCCAGCGAAGTCAGAGCCCCGGTTAACCTCCGACGGGATAACGTTAGGGATGGTGGCAAATCGGATGCTAGTTGGTTTGGGGTCGGAGGCGATGAATCCCAGCCATTCCTCGGTGACAACGACGGTGATAAGGAAGTCGGAAGGGCGGGCGAGAGCAATGAGTTTACAGAGGTTGATCATGGGGTTGATATGGCCTCTGCCGGGGTATGGTATAGCCACCACATGGCAGCTGATGGAGTCCGCCATTGGAGAGTTGATGTGGGCGGTGGGTGGTAACTGGTAAGTGGGCGGTGTTGGATATGTGGCGGATTTTGATTCTATCAACTTGACTCTCCTTTTTCCCAAACTACATCGTATCATATTATTCATTAAAAGTCAGTGAATTTATTACATGAAAAAGTAATATACTTTAACTTGATTTTTATTTTGGGTAACATACTTTTAAAACTTTCATTTTGGTACCTAAGATGTAAAGTTTTAACCATATAAGTACTCGGGTAACTGGTTGAATTATTAACCGATTATCATACTGATGTGTCGAGTGATATGGTATCCAACTCGGTATTATTTGTTGACCTGATCAATAACGTGGATTTTTTTAAATCTAAAATTAGTCTTTTTTTAGTCTAAAATTAGTCTTCACTGGGTTACCCGGGTACTTAAATGTTTAAAATTTTACATCTTAGGTACCAAAATGAAAGTTTTGAAAATACGTTACCCAAAATAGGAATCAAGTACAAGTACGTTATTTTTTCATGCAATTTGCCCTTTTATCAAAATAACAGTTTGTGTTTAAATTTACTAAAATAGCTAAACGTCTATAAAACTCACGTCTGTAATTACGGATCCGGTTAAACGACAAAAAAAATTATACTTTCAACCCCTGTCTCTATTTTGATAAACTTTATAAAAAAGTGGTTAAGAGTTGAAACCAAACAGTAAAAATGACTATTTTAATTAGAGATGCTCAAAAACCCGACCAACTCGATCAACCAAACGCCAAATAACTCAACCCGAAGCAACCTGATATCTAATTGAGTTGTAAAATTTTCAAACCGTAGGTATTGGGTGATATTGGGTTACTATTATTTGAACTCAATTCAATCCGATGAACCCGATATCCTTTTATTCTTGGATTTAATATGATTGTTGAATTTTTATTAGTACATAAATTAGACAATTACATTATCACGTACGTTCTTCATATGTACGTATTTTCAATCTATTCACATCTCTATATAACTCATTCGTATATATGTTTAGTAATTGTGAACATATATATGTAAATTGAGAAAATTAACCGAATGTGATATACTTAAAAAATATGAATAAGTTGTATCAAATGGTTGATGAGGGAAAAAAATTATGAGTAGAAAAATAACATATTTAAGGTTTGAAAAATATTTTAATGTACCAAAGTATCAACCCGACCAACCCGTACGGTTTGGGTTGAGTTGGGTTGCGTTGTGTTAAGATTTTTCAAACCGTAAGCATCAGATTGGGTTGTTTAAATGTCTTCAACCCAATCAATTCAACTCATAAGCATCCTTAATTTTAATTAATTTTCCTAAAGAAGTAAAATGTTTTTTTTTTTAAATATATCATGTCCCAATTCAAAATAAATTTAAATTTATTGGTTTTGAGATTACAATATAGATTTATTATTAAAATATTTAATTTTTTATAAAATATTATTTTCCTTTTTTATACATTTAATTTCAAGAATTTTTTATTGATAAAAAAATTAAAAAATAATTTCTCTTTTATGTATAATTATTTTTTGGAAAATTTCACATTTTATCTCAAGTTAAGAGAATACTTTGGAACAAAAATCCCTTAAAATTTTTGTTAGAGAACTAATGAAAATGCTTTTATCTCATGTTTAATTATTTAAATAAGAAAAATAAAAATGTTGAAAACATATGGATAGATTATAGATTCATAAACAAGCATTTGGTCCCTAAAGTTCAATTAGATTAGGGAAAAGAACTCAGAGAACTGAGTATTTATCCGTTTGATTTCTTGCTAGTTGTAAGTTCGTCGACGCGGGGTGTTCGAATTCTAATCGCGGGTATTGGTAGAGAAGAAAGGGCTGGCCACCCCGAGCGGTATGCGGGTTATATGTTTTCATACAATGTTGCTCCAATCTGACATAGTTGGAGAGAGTTGCTTTGTCTTTGTATTCAATGAGTGATTCTCCTTTCTGATCTTGCTTTCCTGCCTTATAGAACTGTATCTTGCATTGCAGGTGACGACGATGTCGAGTTGACGGCAGAGAAAGACCGGGAATTCAGGTGGTGCCTACGGTAGGATCCATCATCTTGGCGCAAATTCTTTGGTATTTCATGATTATCAAAAGCCAAATCGGGGAAACCCACAAGCAGAACATGGAATCTCATATGGGTTATTGGTAAAAGAAAATGTAGGTTTACATATGCATCTTCATATGTTAATAATTGGTAAAAAGGTAGCTAAATAAATGTGAGTTCACATATGCATCTTCAAATGAATTTTTCCGGGTTTATCAATGATTCACAAATTTCTTCTTACATTCTCAACTTTTTTGTTTTTTATTTGAACCATAATATACAGTACAATATGAGTAAACAAAAATATGTTGTAACTCGAAAAAAAATCATATATAACACAATAGTAAACAAATAATAAATACATGAATATTATTGAAAAATATATATATAAGTTAAAATAGAAAAAAAATATTTTTAGATATTTTATCTGATATTAAAAATGGTATAATAGGTGTAGATGAATTATTGTTTATACCAGTTTTACATTATTTTGATAATCTTAATCACATCTTGTATTTTGTGTCCTCTATTTACGTAAACAAAAAGACTTTTTTTTTCTTACCGTCATGTCTTATCTTGTCACGTATAAAATTGTACCAGACATAAATATAACATTGTACCAAACATAAATACGTTACATCAAACACACCCAAACAAAAGTACAAAACCTTTTTTACCCTCCAAGTAAAATCATGTGTTTGACACGCATCAAACTAATGTAAATGTTTACCCAATATCCGTTTACCGTTAAGAGTCATTATAATTCATTTTACTGAGTAAGATTGTAGTACATCAAAATGATACCATATGCAACAATTTACCCGGTAAACGCTTATGCGGGTAAGAGTCTCCATCCTTATTTATCGAGTAATACTCCATTTTTATCGTTGCTCTTACCGAGTAAAATTTTTTACTTTTGTCATGTTAATTCGGTAAAGAAATTACCCAATAAACACTTACAAAACTAATTTTCCTTCAAATTTTTTAGTTGTAATCCTTTTAGAAACATGTTTCTTAGAATTTTTTTTTATTAAACTGGATATTCAATCCACTATACGAGCCGACTAGTTTTAGGACGACCTTCTTCTTTGCGGGTAATCTGGAGTCACCATATTTGAACATCCGTGGCTACAAGGGGATTTTTATTTCTTATTGGATTTGAACTTGGGACCTCTAGCACTTTTGATATTTGGAGCCCAAGCTCAAATAAAAAATATTATTATTTTATTAAAACGCAAGAATACATGTATCACATTGGAAATTTCAGTTAGTCACATGTAATATTATATCAAAGGGCCTGGCAACTTTTGTTTAATTTGAAAGTACTTCGTAATCAAATGTGATTAATTATAGTAAAAGAGTGTTCATGTGTTTTTATAAAATGAATGTGTTGTCGTTTAAACCCACCTAACCACCCTCTATGTGTGTGTGTGTGTGTGTGCGCGCGCATCGTGAGATCTATGTGAACCATAGCATCATGTGCTATTTATAAATAATTTTTTTTCACGTAATAGCTCGAACTTAATGTTGCAATTAAAATATATATCTATACTATATTATAAAGCATTTTATGCATGAAGTACTGTGTATTAATGCATATTACTTAAAATTTAAGATTACAAGTAATTGTGCGCAAGTACAACTTATTAAAGCTTCATGTTTGAATTCGTATAACTAACTGCATATAAACATAATCAAATACAGGATAAACATCTCATTTTGAATATAAAAAATCTAAAATATAATTAGGATAATCATTGAGTTCTAACAGAATCATTATCTTTATAAAATTTTATTGTTAAGCCAAAAAAAATACTTCACTAAATCGTAAAAACATTATCTTTCTCAGAACCACATAAATCGTATTATATCAACAGAGACAAAAAATAAAAACGAAACATTAAAATGAAGATATATCTCGTTGCATTGTTCGAGTACTCTTCTAGTTTTTTATAAAGTGCTTGTTTCACATTAACTCGGTTCACAAAAGAAATTTTGGCGTGTTTGTGAAACAAAAAATAGACGTAAAAAATTTCACATTATGAACCAAATACATATGAAAACAAACACATTGTGAAACAAATATATGTTAATCAATACATAAATATACTTAGAGATTAAAAATTCATATAAAATAAAACCTTAGATAGCAGTTCTATATTGATCTCATAAAATTTAGAGTTCTTAAATGATTAAATTCACCTACACATATGTGTGTGTTTGGTTTTTTTGGGGGGGGGGGGGGGGGGTTCAACTTAGTTAAATATTTAGGCATGTAGCCAAACGTTATTTTGAGAAGTGATAAATATTTAATAAATAAAGAAGTGATCATAACCCTTCACACGATCAAGGTTGGATTTGACTGGTCAATAAACAAAAGATCAACTATTCTCAAAATCTCACTCAAAAGGTCGGAACTTACCGAATAAGGAATTTCACTACCTTAGGACCGTCATAGTTACGACCGCCGTTCATCGGGGCTTTGGTCGTCGACTCCCCAAAATGCATTGAGGCGCAACAGTTTGCTGTACGTCTAGGGGTACAACACTGGACCTCGTTTCTGAATATTGTATTGCAGTTTTGATTGGTCAAAAATTGCGGATATGCAAAAAATTAGAGGTAATAGTTTTGTAACTTTTACAAATAGATGACAAACGAATTCATATGTGAACCTATGTGATTCACATATGTACTATATATTTTAACTTTGAACCTGTGCAATTCACATATTTTAACCGATTCACATATGAACTAATTAACTAATTCACATATAAACTAATTAACTGATTCACATATGAACCCATACGATTCACTTATAAACTAATTAACAAATTCATTTATAAACTTATTGGTTCATATATGAATCAGTAGTTCACATGTGAACTAATTAACAGGTTCACATATGGACATATCGTTTATATGTGAATCACATGGATTCAAATATAAATTTGTTTGCCACTATTTTGTAAAAAATATGAAACTACTCCTCCATTTTCCACATACCAATGCAAGGAATTACCGGTGCTTCACAGTAAAAGCTGCAAATATTGACCAGATAAAAGGATAAGATCACTCTTTTACTTCATCAAATATTTACCACTTCTCAAATGAACCTTCCACACTATCATCAAACTAAATAACTTTCAAGTTGTTTTGACGTCAAACCATATAATGATTGACTCAGATTCTCTTGCATTTTGATTATTATTTAGAAGTAGCAAATAGTTTCCGTTTTAAATAAGCTCCGGTGTCGAACTATTACCAAAATATGCCCAGGTATTTAACTACTACAAAAATTTGCACAAAAATCAATGTATTATAAAAATATGCTCAGGTATCTAAGTACTACAAAAATATGATCCAGTATCTAACTCCTATACAAATATAGTTGATTATCAAACTATTACAAAAATATGCTCAAGTATCGAACAACTATAAAATATGCTCAAAAATATGTCCAAGTATCGAGTTACTACAAGAATATGCTTAACTATCGAGTTACAACAAAAATATGCTCAAGTATCAAACTACTAGAAAAATATGTTTGATTATTTAACTATTCCAAAAATATGCTCGATTATTGAACTATTACAAAAATATGCTTATATATAGAACTATTACAAATGTTCTCAGAGTATCAAACTATTACACAAATATGCTCCAATATCAAACAACTACAAAAAATATGCTCGATTATCGAATTATTGCCAAAATATGCTTGATTATTAAAATATTACAGAAATATGCTCAAGTATCAAACTACTACAAGAACATGCTCAAGGACCGAACTACAACAAAAATATGCTTAAGTATTGAACTCCTACAAAAAAAACGATCGGAAATATTTCAAAAATATTATCATGTGTCAGGCTATTAAATAAATATGCTTATGTACTGAACTATTACAAAAATATGCTCAAGTATCGAAATACTACAAAAATATGCTTGATTATTGAACTATCCCAAAAATATGCTCCGTTATTGAGCTATTACAAGGATATGCTTACCTATCGAACTATTACAAAAATATGCTCAAATAAAACGACTACAAAAAATAGGCTCAAGTAACGAACTATTATAGATGAACGACTCATCAATATCTTGTTATAAATCTATTTTTTTTTTTTAAAACAATTGTTTTTTTCATAAAACTCAGCAAAAAAGTAAAATGTGTTTCACCGCCCTGAGATAGATCTGATTTTTTTTCTCAATAGTTGCTTGTTCATTTATGCGTCAAGGATACATTTTTAATCTTGATCAAGCAAAAAAAATGATTGATCTTACATTCCGTTATATTGCAGCGGGTACATAACTAATATGTGTGTGGTAAGTGTGGTTTCAATCTTAATACAAAAAAATATCTGATAAACAACAATTTTCAGCCAACACTTACTTGAGTCAAACCTTTTATCCAAGTGAGACCTCGTACCTCAGTTAGAAAGGGGCCGTTTACCAAACGTTTACTCGGGTAATTATTTACTGGTAAAATTCAACACTATCACTTCTTTACAAGGTAAGATTTTAGTCCACAAAAATGGTATTGTATGTAACAATTTACCTGGTAAAACGTTAACCGTGAAAACCGATCATATTTAAGCTCGAATTTTACCAGTATTCTCATCATTTTTAAAAACGATTCAGATTTACAAGAGTTCTCTAATTATATGTATAAAATAAAATTTCAATTTAAAATTAAAATTAAAATATGTTAAAATCTTTTTTTATTAAATTCTGTCATTTTTATTTAAATTTAATTTTTCGGATTTCAAATTTTCTTATTTATTTATTTTATTTATGCATGTAGAGAAATCCGTTAATGCAAAAACGTGATGTATATAAGAGGGATTGAATCAACTTGCCAATAACCTTGAGAGCAATTAGCAAATAGAAGAGTGAAAATAGCAAGCCGCCGGCCGGAAACGGGAAAGAGGGAAAGGTGTTGGATACGGCGGCGTTGCGACTGTCACCGGTGAGCAATCCATTGGTTGGGCTGTCGATCGCCTGTGTAAACGACCTATTGGTTTGTTATCACAGACTGTAAATGGAAGGAAGAAACTACATTCCCCCAAGCTTGTTGCTTCCGAGACAAGGCCTTCAACCCTTAACCGTCTCGTCTGCACCAGCTCGTTATGTCATCGGAGATCGCTACTATGTCCAGCATCGAGAGATGCAATCGCTGCTTATTGACAATCATCGCCTTATGGCACTTCATGTGTCCTTGCAACAGGAACTCTCCGCCGCCCGAAAAGAGCTTCGCCACCTTTCCTCCGATGTTGACAAAGTGAAGGCCGAGAGAGACGCACAGTTGCGCGAGGTCTACGAGAGGTTGGTCAATTTGGAGGCTCAGGTCAAATCGATCGACGAATCAAAGGCTGAATTGGTTGAAGTCCAACGAGATTTGCAGAAATTGAGATCGGAAAATGAAGAACTAGACGATAAATTGAACAAGCTCCGACGTGATGTTGCGAAAGAATCCTTGGAATGGCATAAAATTCCGATGCTGAAAGCGGAACTTGAAGCCATGCAGGAAGAAAACCAAAGAGGAAGGTAACAATCTCTCTCTTGCTAAAAGAACTTGTAAATCGGAATAATCTCCATGTTTATCGAGGATTTGTCGATTTTTCAATCGTCTTGCGGAAAAACCCTAACGAGAAGGGGACGACAGCCCCATGAGTCGCCCTAATAATCTGTATTCTATTTGCAGATATATGTTTTTTTAATGAAATTAAAGCTTTTCCGTGAATCCATATCTAACAAGTCCTGCCATTAATTTTCTTTCAATATGTATAGCTATTGATCCTTAATCCTGCATTTGTGATCCGAACATGAACGTTTGGATTGAATACTTACGTAGGAGCATGATATAACAAATTGACTGAACTAAGTTCAGGATTCTTGCTAAATTCAGTATGAATTTTATCAGACCTGTGAGCTAAGACTTTGTATCCATATCGGGTGCATATTGGATACGAAACAGGTGTGATGCTCATCCGATATGGCTATATTAACGTTACTCGATGAACCGAATTGGATCCATTTTTGCTGATGATCGATAAAATTGCCTTTAATGTGATCATGATGGTTACTAATTAAACTTCATTTATGCCTATGTTTTGGTTCTTCTAAAGACATGATACAAGTGCTTAATCTATAATCATCCATTTTTTATTGTTTTTTCTACAGTCAACTTCTGTGTACCCTTTCTCAAGTTATGCACATATGCTGGTCCTTTTCCCCAAAAACTTATCCCTTCAATGGCATACAACAAATTGGGATTGTGCTAATAGACTGTTTTATGGGATTTAAGTACCAAACAGTTGCGTGTCCTATAAAAATGTGTTACAATAAGTTGATGAGCATCCTAACGGTGGTGCATGCAGGGAAGCAATTGAGCAAGAGAGAAAAATCCATGCTATGAACACTAAAGAAAGCCAAGCAATGGAGAATTATAGGATGTTTATGGCTGGCGAAATCGAGAAGCTGAAGGTGGAAGCTGTCGATGCAGAGAAGAGAGCAAGGGCAGCAGCTGCGGCAGAAGCCGTTTCAATTCCAGGTGGTTTACATCTACTTTCCTTCCCTTACTTGTAACTGCATTTAGAGTCAAGAAGTAAACTAAGGTTGAATGGCTTAAAACAGGAACTGGATATGGTGCTGGATATGGGAATCGTCAGATGGGGTATGCTGCTGTAACTCTAGGTAATTCACCAGTTTCTATCTGCTCTCCTCTTCTTAAATGCGTTTAGATTCGACTATTAAATCGTGTTAGAATATGTCGAAACAGGGTGTCAAAATCCGGAGAGGGGGTATTCTGGAAATGCATGTCCTCCCCCTCATTATTGTTTACATGGTATGTGATTAATAACCTTTCTAATTCATTTCTGAACTCCATAGTTTGTGTAAATTCATTGTGCATAACATCAGATATGCAGTATATATTCACATGTGAATGTGGATTATTGCTTTCAGATATTCATTAGTTTAGGGCAGTAGTAAGGTTACAAAGAGTCCTAATGTTGTTACAGTCCTGAAACTGCTTGATTTCCAAGAAAGACAAGCCATTTGCAGATCATCATTTGAAAAAATTGTTTGTTGTCACTCTATGCATAGAAATGCCTTTCTATTTAAAGGAAACTTTGCTGTACAAGTTAAGAAACTATTAATTTCGCTTATAAAGTCATTAGGCATAACGATAACGTCTGAATATTTAATGATAAGGGTGGTAACGTGGTAAATAAAGACAAGGGGATTATAAAATCAACTTAGGTTCGAATCCTGCCATTTACATATGTGCTTGTGGTTACTGGGATATTTACCTCAGGGTTGTAGGTGAAGCCTACAGTTGCGGATTAGCCTGGGCGAAGTCTGGGATTACCCATTTTCAAAAAACATCTGAATATTTGTAACCAATTAGAATCAATCACATGGAAGTTGTCATAAATGGATAACAAGTTATAAAGATTAGTAATAGATGCCAAGGAAATTGGGTATTTAATAATAGAAAAAATGGAGAAAATAAATAAGAAATAACTCTAAAAAATGAGAGTTATCAAATGCATCAAGCATTATTTATGAAGTTTAGTGTTTGTTCATGTTTCAGGTTCAAGCCAAAGTTATCATCATCACTGAAGAATATCAAGTACGATGATGGTATGTGATCTGAAATTATAAAGGATATGTATTGTTGGTTATAGACATCTGTATTTTTGATGACATTCAACTGTGTAGAATGTCGTAAACAAGCAGTCGTCGAGTTTTCTTGATGCTTATCGGTGATAAATTATATGATCAATCAGAACGGAAACCCGAAACTGAAACTGAATTTGAATTTTTGATTTGATTTTCGGTTTTCACAATCGACATAAAACTTCGGTCCCAAAAGAAGAAACATATTAGGGGATGTTTACCAAGCGTTTACCAAGTAAGCGTTAGAAACATAGAAGTATTCTAAAAGGCTCGCCGCAGTAGCCGCCTTCGTGGCTCAAGGCTCGTGTTTGACACCACGTTTAAACCTGTGGCACACCGCAGTCCAATGCGTACGCAGTATTTGATTTTTTATCTTTACAATGTCTTACTTTATAGTTTTAAGTAGATAAACTAATATAAATTATTTTTGAAATTATGATTTTCATCCCACCGTTTTAAATTCATTGTTGTTTTCTCTTTAAGATTCACAATTGATTTTTCATCCCTATGACTTACAATTTTTTATTATTTGAGTTTGTTATACTTAAAGGTAAGAACTAGCCTTGGGAATGAAAATAACAAAAAAAATTCAAACTATAGGAATGAAAAACATAATTTCAAAAGGCAAATTATGAAAAAGTAATGTACTTTTAAGTTGATTCCTATTTTAAGTAATATACTTTCAAAACCTCTATTTTGGTATTTAAGATGTAAAATTTTAAATATTTAAGTATCTGGGTAACCGGTTGAAGACTAATTTTAGATTGAAAAAAATCCATGTCATTAACCACTTCAACAAATAATACAGGAGTTGAATACCGCATCACTCGCCACATCAGCATGATAATCGGTTAATGCTTCAACCGGTTACCCGAGTACTTAAATGTTTAAAACCTTATATCTTAGGTATCAAAATAAAAGTTTTGAAAGTACGTTATCCAAAATAGGTATCAAAATGAAAGTACGTTATCCAAAATAATAATCAAGTTAAAATATGTTACTTTTTCATAAAATTTGTCTTTTAAAATAGAGTAAATTACCATATTCATAATTTTTAACAAATCACAAAGACTAAAAAGCATAATTTACGCTTTATAAAATGAAAACTTAACGTAAAAACTTCAAATGTATTAATAATTGTCGAAAGAAGTGCTAAAATTCATTGCAACCTCGTAGTTATGGTGGAGAAAAGACATCGGAGATTGGGTTGTAATCAAAACAACTTTTGTCGTCTTAATCATTCATTACCTTCAGATAAAATTAGGAGGTGTTTGACATTGCTTATTTAAAATAACTTATGTTTTTTTTAAAAGTGTTTATTAATTTATGTGGTATCAAACCGGAGTTTTATAAAAAGTGTTTGAATTAGCTTATAGCGGTACCAAAAAGTAATAAGTTGATAAGTTATTTTTTAGTGTTTGACAAATTTTGCTTATATATGTAAAATGATCAAAAAGGACAGTCTTTCATATTATTGACTTATGGGAGTGTTTGGGATTGCTTATTAACTTATTTGATTTTTTAACATTTAAAAATTTATTTTTCATCATTTATAATAATATCTTTAACAAAAATCTATATCAATAAGATTAATAATTAACAAACATTAATAAAACATGGTTAAAATGGTAAACTGGTAATAAGCAGTTTTTCATAAGTCAGGAAGGATTAACTTATCAAAAACTGTTTATTACCGGTTTGACGCCGGTATAAGCAGTTTTATTTTTCTTCATCCAAACACTAACATTTAGCTTATCACCGTTGTCAGACTTAAATAAGTCAAAAAACACCTAAAATAAGCAATCCCAAACACACCCCCTTAGTCTTATAAGAAGCTCGATCTTTATATTATACTACAATTAAATCTCATAACTAGTTTTGATTCGCTTTTATAGTCGAGATACTTTTATGCTAATAACTTTTACCATCGTATCTATACATTAAGTTATTATGATGTACTCAACATAACCTCTTGATGCAACAAGTCAAAAAATACGGTAATTTTATTACTCAAGAATTTGATCCTAATATGAGTTTTCTTGGTTACGGTCCCTACTAGGGGTGCTCATGGGTTGGGTTGATCGGGTTGAGAACATTTAATAACTCAACCCAATGTTTGCGGTTTGGAAAAATCTTAACCCAACTCAACCCAAACTAAAGTGCAACCCAACCCAACCCAACTCATATGAGTTGGTCGGATTGATACTTTGGTATATTAAAATATTCTTCTAACCTTGAATATGTTATTTCTCTACTTATAATTTCTTTTTCATCAACCATTTGATACAACTTATTCATATTTCTAACGTATATCACATTCAGTTAATTTTCTCAATTTACATATATATGTTCACAGTTACTGAATGAGTTATATGGAGATATGAATAGATTGAAAATATGTGTATATGAAAAGCATACATGATAGTGTAATTATCTAATGTATATATTAATAGAAATTCAACAATTATATTAAATCCAATAAATAAAATGATATCGGGTTCATCGGGTTGGATTGGGTTCAAATAATAGTAACCCAATATCAACCCAATACCTACGGTTTGACAATTTTACAACTCGATTAAACATCGGGTTGCTTCGGGTTAGGTTATTTTGCGTTGGATTGGGTTGATCGGGTTGGTCAGGTTAGTCGGGTTTTTGAGCACCCCTAATCCCTACTATTCATTTATTACCAAAATAAAAACTTGTATGCATTATAGTTTTGATCCTCCCAATAATTATGTCACCTTTCTTCCTCGTTACATGAGGGCCATTTTTAGCCATTTCATTGATGAATTTAATGAAAAAAGCAACTTAATATCATCTTGAAGCATTGACCAACAAAAGCATTCTAGAATCAAAAAATAATCGGTCATCGTTATCATCACCATTTGTCACACAAATCAAAATCAAAATAAAAATCAAAATCAATATCAACAAACCCGGTATTCTAAATTTAATCAAAATACAAAATGAGATTGTTTAAACCCGAAATCAACTTAAAAAAACCCAAACCCCAAACCCTAAATCTCTTGGCTTTTAGAAGAAACGGACCGCATCTAGCTCCCTGGTTGGACACTGCTCGAAGCGGATTGACAAAGCCAGGATTGGTTAAAATATTGACGAAGGAAAAAGCATGAAGCATCCTCGTTGGTCGTAGCTGTCGAGCTTGAGTTGGCAAGTGAATACACCAAGGCTTGTCATTTTCTTGTCCATCCAGTGCTAGCCGTGGCTCTTTGGTAACTTGATTGACGAAACCGGTGGATGTCAAACGTGAGATGCAAATGAACCTCAATAGTATTATACAGGATGGTCAAGAAAGAGAGGAGGACAAGGTAGGGCCGTGAGAAAAATCAAAGGGAGAGGGACCAAGGAAAGCATCGTTTTAGGGTTAAAAAAGAAGAGGTCTAAACGACCATATACCCGCTTGTTCTTTCACTACCCCTCAATACCTCTAACCAAGCGTCCATGTACGCATTCCAATGCATATCCCATTACATTGTAAAAGAGTTAGAGGTGGTTTAGTGTACATATATATATATATATATATATATATATATAATTGACAAACATAAAAACCAAGAGTTGTTTATATTGAACAAAACTGAGAAGCTCGAGCTTGTATTTGTAGAATTGATTTATGAAATATGGTTTCTATGGCCAAAATCACTCATCCACCAATAACACGATAAGTTTCGATTACTGTGTTGATTAGAATATATGTAATATAACATGAATCATACAAACTGCATATGTGTTTTACACTTCATAGGAGGAGATTAAAAGAGTCGTTAGCATGTTAATCCTGCCTTTCAACAATCATCCTGCTCCTTTTCCCCTCCCTGCTTCACCACAGAACAAAACAACATACTATACCATATCTTCTTAAATCCTCCCTTGCACGGTCCATATGTAAAACAAAGAACTACACAACAAATGATCCCGATCCTGATCCCGAGGAAATCTGTCATCAAACATCCATACTATATACGTCGAATTGTCACAACCAACCAAAAAAGGATATGCGACAGGCAGGGCTAGATTGGACGAGCGAGAGTGAGGTATGTTAGTGAAAGACTTGTGGAAGCTTTTTGGGTTTTAATTTGACATAGTTAGTTACCGATCTTATCCCCATCTCCTTGATTTTTGTATCACCTATTTGGTCCTATCATGTCCCAGTTTAACGTCGCATCAAACCTGGGACAAGTTTTTGTATTGCCGTGTCCCGTCCTAAACCAGACGTGAGACAAGTTTTTGCATTTTCCTATCCTATCCCATCCCTGGTACCAAACATGCTCTGACCGACCTTTTTGGCTGCTGTAACTGGTGCCTATGGCATGTCCCATTCTCCGTCTTAACCAGTTACGACTAAAATACAGATCCGGTCAGGGGCTGCTAGTTATAACCAGTCTTCACCTGTTATTCGGGTCAGGACCCAGGCCAATCTCCAGACCTTCACCAATGCACTAAAATTTGGACATGTGCTGGAAAGAATTGAGTCAAGTTCAGTCCCAAAAGCCAAAAGGGAAACATTTTACAATGAAAGAAGATGAAACAGATCGAGTTCTTTGACAAACTGTACTTTTACCTACTCTTATGATTGATGATCAGGATAAGGATGCATGTCTGAAGTTAACAAGCATTCAAATGCATCATCAAGCTTGTATATCTAAACATATCTATCTAGCATTTGGTTATTCAAAAGCAACACTCACCTGAAAATCTCAACCTACCTTATAGAAGCATTTGGAGTACATATATCCACTTGGCACTGGCCTCTATAAAAACATTGACACAATTTTAGACTTAAAAAAACACATTGCAAAATATTTAATAGCAAAAAAACAGAAGAGAAAAGGGGCAAGTGGATAACCTACCTCTTAATCTCCAGGTAAGGGAACAATCCCGCAATGGACTACAATAAAGGCTTCTCTCGTTCACAGTTTAACTAAATAAATGCCTCATCAATATGGACGAGAACGGTTTCCACCATGATAATTCCTATCTGGACCACCATCTCTGTAGTTGTCTCTGCGTCTATCACCACCTCCACCACCGTAGCCGCCGCCGCCACCTCTTCCACCACCACCGCTGTTGCATAAACAAACAACGTCAGCACAGCCAAAATCAGCAAAAAGAGATAAGCCCCCAGCAATAATCTTGTTGATTTCCATGCTTATTATCAAGTCTACCTAATACCACACTGTTTTTTCATAATTATTAATGAAATCAAGTTCAGAAGTGACATACAAAACAAAATACCAGCAATATTAGTGTAAAGATAGATGAATGGGTTACTTTCTAAAAGGTAACTGCTAATGAACAGTATGATATCACATCACAATAATCCTTCAAATCAAGTAACCAGATCTAATGTATACCACTCTTATTTTCCGTGATCTAAATCAGCCTAGTAGATCTCATTATTCCTAAAAAATTTATTTATAAGAGCATGTAAATTGCTCATATTCATTAAGCGCCTAGCCGTTCTCCAACAAACACAAATTTACAACTCGCACACGGACGCTTCGAGAAAGCAATAGACAATTGACAGGATCAGAGATCTGTAAGGAACTTTAAGCAATCCAGTGTTAATAATTAATATGAAATATTTTGAACAATATATGCTCCTGCACCCACTCTGTCCACATAAAACACCCTTCTATGATCTTTAGCATATGAAAAAATTCCCTCGAAACCACATATAAAAAGAAAATGCCCTCCCCTCCCCTCCCCTCCCCTCCCCAAAGTAATAGATGTTGCATTATTTATCACATGGAGCAAAACAACACGATGGTTCTTCCAAGCATAATCAGAAACCTCACGGTTTTGCTCGAGCAATATCATCTAATCTAAAGAACATGAAGACACAGGAAGAGAACTACTGTATTCTGTCAAAAGAATCAGAGGAAGGAAGGAACCAAGATAATATCATTGTCATCAGCACAAAGAAAGTGTCAACGCCTTATCATGAGCTATATAACAAGTAAATAGATCTCACACTGCTTCTGATATAGAAGAATTGCTCAAAATGTAGAAGATGCAAAATAGTGGTCAGCGAAGACAATAATGTGGATGTTTTAGAAAGTTTGACATGAAATACAAGAAACTCTCAGACAAAACCAACTCCATAGAAGAAACAGAAGCCTTTCCACAGCTCATCGCACAACCCGATAATACAAGCATTTTATTTCAAACAAGTTGTAAAAAATCCAGTAACGAAGACAAGAAATTCTAAAACGGTACTACCTAGAGGCAAAACCAACCAAACATCAATGGCATCCCTACATGCATTCCTATCCAAGGCCACCTCCTATATACACTCCACTTGTGCAATTTCTCTTCACTACTCCCCGATGTCAAGCATTGCCGAGCTCGGAGCTGCCTACTCTTGGTCAAGTCTCCTCCTACAACTGCTGCAGATGAATGTCTATGTCAGAGATGATGCAACTACTTCAAAAAACATTGTCCCACCTTCTCAGCTATGCTAAAGCTAAAGCAACGCCATTTAGTCCTATCCCTCATCATGTGGCCACAAACCTAACTTGATATTAGTATTTTGTGCTCATCTTAAATATAGCAGCAGGTATTACCATTGCCTCCAACCGGCTGCAATCAAACTTCAACTTGTTGCCATTTCAACCATGTTCTTATCCTATGACAAAGATCCTCATCAATGTTGACATTGTTTGGTAAAACATATCCCACTTGACTATGAATATATCGGACTTTCCGATTTATTTTCTATGCTGCATGAACAACCAACAGTTTCAAAATCACAACACCATGCCTCTGCCTAATCTATGCAGAGTAGGTGCTCTATTCAGCAATACAGGATGTTCATCCAGAATTCTCTCAATTATTTCCCATACAATCAGTTTTTTAACTCCATGTAATGTTTGCAATACGTAAGAATAGTAATCACATGGGTTAAGTAAACGTACTTGATTTATCCAACACCATGTTCAATACATGGTTGTGAATTTATCATCAGTACATAAAGTGGTGATACAAAATCAGCAACAAGTCACAATCAATGTTGAAGCATAATACTATACCACTTAGATTGGACTAGCAAGGGGGCTTGATTAAAAGTGCTTCAATAACAAAAACCTGTAGTATCATCCATGATCACCATATAAAGCAGCACCAGGAAATTATGTTGTGAATGCAAGAGGAATAGCTTACAACAGTAAGATGTTTCATCTAACCGTACAGAACAAAGTCTAGTGCACCATGACAGGGGAAATGAAACATGAACTCCTCGTACAAAAAGATGATCCTCCGATACAAGCCACATAGAAACCTTATATGGGACTTCAATCAAATAAAATTGCCTGTTCCCCCAACCTCTCAAAGAGAATAAACCATAAAACAATACAGGCCCAAGATACATTTTATGCTTGTACCATTGTTTGTTCTATATAACTGCTTTCCATTGACCATCTAGGGATCCTATTTACAACCGAATAGCAGTAATATGCAAGTCAGAGCAATAAATCGTACAAGTCATTAAGAACACTAAATTTAAATCGGAACATGGTAAGGTATATGGCTAGCTCATGCTTATATACATGATAGAATAGATATGGGCTTTATACAGATGGAATAATAGATATACGTATATATATATATATATATATATGATTGTGTGTCAAAAAGCAACTGAAGCTATGAAGGCGTCCTGATTAGAGACAGTTAGCTAAACATTGTATTTGCAATATAATGAAATACTTTTTTTGCGGAGGGAGCATTATGCATGTATTACATATATGAATGTTGATGAAAAACACAAATAATGAGTCAACACATATACCCTTGACCATATGCCGGAGGAGCCCTTGGAGCAGATTTCTCAGCCATTCCAACGCTAATTTTGTGACCTCTCATATCATAATCTGATGAAGAAAAAAATTAATTAGACATGCCCATAAAATGCAATAGCATACTCTAGGCAATAGTTGAGAACAAAGGTGTACTGTTATAGAAGCCGCCAGCAGAATGTGCTGCAGAAGGATCTTCATAGACCAAAGCAGCATCTCCTTTGTTATTTCCTTGGTCATCAGTGTAAATCTTGATGTTATAGGGCCACTGATCCTTATAGCCTCGCTTCTGCTTGATTCTCCCAACCTACAAACACCATAAAACATACAATTGTCATATATCAATTTCACAAAAAGATAGATCGTGTAAAGGCAGCTTATCACATAATAAAAAGAGAAAAAAAGGTAATTGTATTTACTTGTCCAATGCCTCCAAATAGCTCTCTTAGTTCATCAACAGTCACATCTGGAGGCAAATTTGAAATGTAGATTCTCGCATTATCACAGGATTCATCACATGTTTCATCACATTGCTTGACCTTTGCGGGTGCTTCAGCAGGAGAACCACCATAACCACCTTGATTCTGTGGAGCACTGGTATATCCACCAGTTGGCCCACCCCTTCCACCACCACGATTATCAGGCATAGAATCACCACCATAACCAGCACCACCACCATAGGATGGTGGATATGAAGTTGGTCCACCATTGTAGCTTGCAGGTGGAGGGACAGCATCAGTTCCATAAGCAGGGTTGGCCGCATATGAGGTAGGTGGTTGCGGGTAACTACTATCAGATCCCCCATACCCAGCTGCAGCACCCTGACCATAACCACCACCTTCTCTTCCTTGGTTGCCTCCATAGGAACCACCACCACCCCTACTTCCTCCACCACTCCCACCATCATAGCTACCCCTACCTCCTCTATCTCCACCATATCCCCCACCACCTCCACCCCTATTGTAACTACCACCATCACTGCGTCCACCCCCACCTCTATTGTTACTGCCACCATCATTGCGACCACGATCACCACCGGCACCCGCGCCAGCAGGAGAGGGGGTACCGCATTTGTTGCATTCAGTTCTCCAAGAAAAGTTTGAATTGCCACAGCTGCAAATACAATAGAAAGGTAAATTTGACAACAATCATTAAGACAATGCTTGCAACTTCCATTAATTTACAAGGCAGGTTTCTTCTGAACACAAAGATTTCAGATAAAGTTTCAGCATGGGACCAGAAAACGGAATTGCTACGTAAGAAAAATTATTTAAAAACCCAGTTAAAAACGATAGCCTAAAGCAATCAACAGAGATATAAAGTGTGCTCTGTTTTATACACGATGAAACACATATATCAACCATACAACATATAGCCACAAGAGAATCCATTCAAAAACAAGTCTCAGAGCACCAAGATTATAGTTTATGAATTCTAGATAGCATTTGAACCTTTGATGCTTTGCAAATGTAGAAGAATATACATTTTCTCGTTGAAATACAGATTCTAATGAGGGGAGGGGCAAAATAAACCCAACCCCACAAACCAAAAAGATACTAGAAAAATGACGAAACAAATTGTAGTTGTATTTGCCTATAGCATACTTAGGTTGGTTAAATAACACCAAAATCTTGTAGAAAACCCAATTATAATTTACTTCTCTAAAATCCCTATCTCTTAAAAGAAGAGATTTCTACAAGTCCAACATAAAGCTTTTAAGATTAATAGAAAACTCAAATCTAAATTGGATGAAGCAAGTAAAACGACGGATCCTTCACATATTGAAGCTCAATAATCGACCAAAGTCATGTAATACTAAATCCTACTTGTAAGTATTGAGAGATAGATGCTTTCGGTAAGCTTTTGATCCTTTTGCAGATGCGAGTAGAACAAGAATCTCACTTTAGAATATGGCAACAAAGGTTCAACCAGAACAATGGTATGATATGCGCTGTAAACTTTAGGTAAATTCTATATGCATAAACATAAGTAGATCAAGAAAGGAAACAAATTACCCCGGATTAGGGCAAGGCCAGTCTCCGTCTCTACCACTCCCACGTCCGCCACCTCTACCGCCTCCGCGCCCACGATCTCCTCCTTGATATCCACCTCCACCTGCAATTTAGAGAAAAGAGACAAATTCAATTATATGTTCCAAGAAAAAGAAAAGAGACGAAAGCCAGACAGATTTACAAACCTCGATTTTGTGAATTACCACCGTATCCTCCACCACCACCTCCTTCTCTACCACCAGTTCCACCTCGACTACCATACCCTCCGCCTCCGCCTCCACCACGGCCGCCGCCTCCATATCCTCCGCTTCCGCCACGGTTTCCACCATAGGATCCGCCTCCACCACCACTGGCTCCATAACCGCCTCCTCCGCCACTGCCTCCATATCCTCCTCCACCTCCACCGCTACCTCCGTAACCTCCACCGCTACCTCCGTATCCTCCACCAGCTCCACCATAGCCTCCACCAACGGGCGGTGGAGCAGATCCATCTCCTTCGTGACCGTAACCAGACATCCTTGTTAGGGTTTCTTTGAAGCTGTATAGAGAGAAATAGAGTGAAAGGGGGAATAGGGAATTTAAGCTGATTTATATACTGGCCGACTCGTTAAAAGTTGTAAACCCCATCACGCATCAAATTATACGATACGCCCCCATTCACCAAATTCACCACAAAAATAAATCCTTTTATTTTAAAATTAAAATTTCTTTTCTCAAATTAACCATTACGGAAAATTTCAAAAAAATAAAATAAAAAACGAAATTTTTTATTTTAATTGTTTTAAGAGCAACTCCAACATTCACACCATAAACACCAAATATGATGGGCCTATAAACACCAAAAAGAAAAACTCAACTCCAACCTTTTGGCGTCCATCTCTTCCACGGCAAATTTGCCGTTCATTTCCTTCCTCCGGCAAAACTTTGGTGTATTTGGCGTGCGATTGGATCCAAAAGAACGACAAAACTAAGGTTTTGTTGTTCGATTGGAGTTGCTCTAAAGCATTAAACTATTTTTTTAATGAAAAATCATTTGATTTTTAGTTTCGAATGATTATTAGGAGCCGTTTACCCAAACACGGTAAAATTCAACATTATCGCTTACTTACCGGGTAAGATTTTATTCACTAAAACGCATTGTATACAACAATTTATCCCGGTAAGGCGCTAACCATGGTAAGATTCTTCGTCCTCACTTACCGGGTAAGACCCTCGATTCTTATCTTCGCTCTTACCGGCTAAGATTTTTAGTTTTTGTCATATTCATCCGGTAAAGTAAAGTGAGTTGGTAAGCGCTTACCCTGATAAGCGTTTGGTAAACGACACATAAATCTCTAAATATTATTTTTCTTATTGAACTTTTAAAAATTGGTATCCGTTTCTTTTTAATCCAAAAAAAAAACTATCTTACATAACTAGAAAAATTTTAAAATAAAAAAAAAACTTAAATTAGTTTTATCGTTTCCAAACCTCGTGCATCTAATGACCTTGCTCCCCTTCATCTCCCAAACGTCGTTCATTATCTATACCAAACTTTGGTCCCTGTCATCGTTCTTTCTATTTTTATATGTTTTTGTATTTCAATTCTCCCTCTTTTACAACATTTTAATGGAGTATGTATAGACATAAAAAAAAAAAGGGGGAAATCGAGAAAAAACTGATAAAAAGAGTAAGATCGATGGTAAGGTCCAATGACGGTGATAGAGAGCAGATGACGAGAGGGGCGATGATGTTGGGACAAATTTATTATGTATAATTTTGGAATAATATAACTGATTTAAGTTTTTTTTGTACTTTAGAACTTCATAGTCTGCTACTGGTATTTTTTTTTTAATGTATGTAACCAGTTTGTAGATGGTGGATTGTTTATCTATTAAACAAATGTTCAGAGAGTTGCTCATTAGTTACTCATTCAAGTGACAGAGTTTAATAGTTTATTCATCAGAAAAATAGTTTAATGACGTAATCAATCAAATTTAAAAAGTTTGTTGGGTTTTTTAAAACTTTTTTCATAAATATAATAGCACCCACGTGAAGTCGTTAGTCGTTCGTCCTTATTGAGGCCATCCCTTGCGGTAATACCAAATCAATTGCTTAATTGGTATGTAACATCACTTTTTAATTAAGAAATGGTGGGTATGATAAATCAAGATCAGTAACAAATAGCCATAACAGTAGATCTAAAGGATTGTTAATGTCCCATTAACATTTCTAACAGATGTGGCGGTGAATGATATAAGAAACTGTATTTTGGTAACTGTTAATGACACCTCAAGTTTTTTATGTATGATGTACTTGTTAGTCATTAAAACTCAAAAGTAATGCTACAATACTCTCATTTCTCAACGACTATAACTAGTGAAATAAAATAAATGATATAAATTAAACGCTGTAGAACTTGTAAGAATATTTCCAATAGTTTTTCTAAAATATAAAAAAGTGAGTTTTTGTTCTCTAAAATGCTACAACAGCTTTGCTATCTTGTTCTCTAAAATAGAGAATAGTGAAGAAATTTTAAATATAAAGAATTCTCTAAAACTTGATGATGGAGAGAGAAATAATTATTTTATTCAATTTCACTAATAAAAATTGAGTTATTATGTTTTATAAAAAGTTTTATTTAAGCTGTGTTAGGATGATAAATTAAAGAATATTATAATAATATAATTTATGTTAAAAATCTCTAAAATAGAGTATCTGTTGGTGATGAATGTGACTATTTTTTTTAAAAATGTATGTTTTTGTTGACCTTTTATCATCATGACATCTTTCTGTTGACTTTTTATCATCTAATTGAACATGTGACCTCTCTCGTATATTCACCATTGTCAACAATCGTGAACCCATGACCTTCCCCATCTGATCAAACACAGAGCTTTTTACAAGGGGTATAGTAGTAGATTTTTTCTCTCTTTATAGAGTCAGAGTTGTGAATTATCAATGCATCTCACCATGATTTTAAGTTGAATTCAAAGTTATTGGATTAGCTCACTGATATAGACTTGGGCCGTTACGAATGGTATCAGAGTTGGTCATTGTACCATCACCATGGTGTAGTAAACCTAATCGAGCATGATAAGTCCTCGAGGGGGCGCGTATATAACATTTTATCACCGTTAACGAAGAAAGATTATGGGAATGTCTAACGAGAATATCAAAAATTTAAGTGGAGAAAGGTGGCTTTGCAAGTTAAAAACTTTTACCATGGTTTTAAACTAAGTTAAAAACTAATAGGTCAAAATTATGTGTTGTCAAATAACATTTATCTAGGATTAGTTGGCTCGCATAATGGGTTGGATATTCAGGTTAATAAAAAAATATTTTTGATAATGACGACTAGGCATATTTATTCAAAAGAGGAAGAATCCAGGCATATTTTTCAAATGAAAAAAATCAGAAGCATACGCTTCCAATAACGTATTATTTAGTGGGGGAGTCGGTTTTTAAGGGGGTTTTAAGGATGAAAAACGACTATTCTAAAGAATACGACTTACAGGAACGAGTTGGGGAGAACAAATGATCGATTGGAAGTAATTTTTCATCAATTTCTTTTTTGCTTTTGGTAAATTTTTTCCGTTTTTAGTTGTAATTTCAACTTAGCCTGGCTAAGTTTTTCCCTTACAACAATGATTTTTCTCTGGATTATGTTGCATTTATTTTAACACTTCGTAGTAATCATGTGGAAGAAGTTTCTTTGCATGAATTTCGTTTGAATGTCAATTTTGTTTGGATCGTTAATTATCTTGATCAATTAGTTAATGTTCTTATTGATGTTGTTATTTGAAACCCTAAGATCTGTAATTGTCTAGGAGTTTTGATAAAGTGACGAATGAAATTGTTTGGTCTCGATAAGGTTTTCAATTCAATTTCTTGAATTCTTGCAACCGGAACTCTAATAAGCCGAGCTTGTGTGCTTATTGCTTCGAATTGGTGATTTTTCTAACTCGTTAATGCTAATTGTACATGGGGATTTGAGAGTTTGTTCAAATTCTCATTTGAGGTTTTTTCTTTTTTGATTAACCTGAATATTCAACCCGCTATGCGAGCCGACTAATCCCAGGACGACCACCTGCTTTGCAGATAGTCCGGAGTCATCGCATTTGAACCTCCGTGGCCACAAGGAGATTTTTATTTTTCCTTTGATTTGAACATGAAACCTCCTGGTACTTTTAACCTTTGGAGTCAAACTCAAACCAATCAGGAACCACCCTTGTGATTTTGAGGTTAAGATTTCATTAAAGAGTTTGTTTTAATCAATGTTTATCTAAGGAAATATCTATGTTACCATAGCCAATTTGGATTTGTTTTGTTATTTTACGTTTTCGAAATCAATGGTAAGTATCTACACTCTAATCGAGAGTGAACCATTGTTGGATTTTAATATATTATTTTTTCTAATCCATTTTAATTAATCAAATCCACCCTCCTTCGTATTTACTTTTAATTATCTGTTTCTACACTTGAGTTCTTTGACTATAATAACTTAAGACTAAGTTTAGTCCTCGTGGATTCAACCCGACTTACCACTATTACAATTTTGGTTGTAATTGGCCAATAATTGAAACTTATTATATATTCAATCAGTTGATGAGATTGATAATAGATTTAAAATTTTGAAAATAGTACGACTTATTAAGATTTAGGATTTTTCAAAGATAATTACAAAAATAAATACATTTATATAATATTATATATATATATATATATATATACCATATTAATAAGCATTTAGACTAAAAGTCTTAAATGCAACCTATAAAAACCAAAGTACTACCATTTTATACATAAATTTCAAAAATCTCTTAATTATAACTTCACATGCATAAGATACAATTGTTGATACACACCACCACCAATATCCAAGTTGAAACTTACAACTTTACTTTATTTCTTTCCAATTTTTTTCCTTCTTTATTAAGAGCTTTATTATTTTTTTTTTTTTGGTATCTTCTCACCATTCTTTATTCATTTCAAACTTTTATTTTAGTTAATTTTAGCTCTCATTTGCAAAAAGATGGATATTGGTTTTTATTTCGGTTTGTATAAGATAACTTATTTATTTTTTAAATGTATTCACTAGAAATCTGTTTCTTCCTTCATTATAATTATTTGGACAACATAATTAATTTTCATATCTGTGTACAATAAAATTTATCTTGATTCTTTATTTGTTACATTGTACTTGATTACATCCTATTGCATCGCACGGGTACTCAACTATAAGGAATCGATGTTTAAATATTTCTAAGGGTTCCCCTGTAAGATCGAATGTTTAAATATAAATTTTGTATTTTTTAGTGAATAATTACACTCATTTTTAGTTGTAGGCTTATTTGAAAATTTGATATCCCGCCGTATTACGTAGGTACACTATATCTATCTATATATATATATATATATATATATATGTGTGTGTGTGTATTTCAGGTTTTCGAACTAGTTGGGTTGCCAAATATTATACCTCGGGTTTTGAATTCTGGGATATTCGGGTTTTACACAAACACCTTATTTTCGGTTTGAGTTTTGGACCACTCGGGTTTTGCACAAATAACAAACTATTTTATTAATTAAAGAATCACATGGAGTTATAATATGATTCTTGTGAGATTTTGAATCTCAATTTTGGACAATCTCTAGAGTGAACACATAAAAGAAGAAACATAAAAATTAGTGGCAAAATTTTCAGATCATAACCAGACAACATTGACCACCAATAACCTTCACAAAACTTCATCAAAGAAGGAAATGTTCTTCCCTTAAATGACCCTAAAATCTACATCTACAAACACATCCACCATCATAGCCTCTGCAACACCAAAATGGTTGTTACAAATGAGACCAGATAATGGTGAAAATTTGACCCATGAAATGAATCCGAAAACGAAACTTTTAGTTCTACGTTGAATCTACAGTTACCAACCGATGGATCAACCGTCGTGATCATTCCCAGCCCCCCAAAATCACAACTATCAGCCCTTTGATCATGTTGTTGATAGTAACTGTTAAAAGCATATGAGACATTCCCGGGCCAACTGAGATTAAAACAAGAACTACCTGGCGAAAGTGCGGTACAGTCAGCATTGATGCAAGCCTCAGTAGCATGTGCGGTTGCATTCGAGATGTTTAAATTGTTGTTTACGACGCACCATCTGGAAGCAAGATACTCGACGTTCTGTGCGTTCACGAGCCTTTTCGTGCCTTGGTCAAAGTCAACCTGGTACTTGGCTTGCCCGTCAAAAGTAAACAAACCCCAGTGTCTTTCGAAGTTTCCAGCAGTTATATTTCTCTGATCTTCGTCTAAAAGGGTATGAAGGTAAATTTCTATTGGCATAGTCCGAGGCCTAAGTGGGGTCCCTTTCTTACTACGAAAATGGTCCAAAAGACCTTTTGTGAATACCTCTGCATTTGAAACAGTGGCATTTGGAGCTCCATCTGTAGGCCAACCGATTTGGCTTATTACAATATCTATCTGTGAAAATCCTGCAACTGTTAAAGCAGTGATGAGGGTGTCATAGCTTAACTCAAAGCTGTTTTTATATGATCTATGGCTGTCGTTATGAGAGTGTGCGGTTGGTTTGTATAGAGCGAAATCGAGGGATATGTTCTTGTTTTGATAGTAACTCAAAAAAGGCGAAATGCTCACAAAGAACGGAGATTGAGTCTTGCTAAGAAACTTGAGGACGCTAATCATGGTTTTGTTAATATCGGATCGGAAGTGTCCTTTGGAGGGTACGCCGGATTCTGACTGGAATGCATCAAAGCTACACGGAATCACAACTTTTACCTTATTTGCTAGTTTAGCTCGGATCAAAGCTGCTTCTATATTGATGGCTGCCCCAACCACAAAAGGATAGAATTGTGAACCATAGGTTTGGAGAAATGGCTCATCTCCAACAGCAATGTACCTACAATATACAAATGTATTTTGCCATTGTTTCAACATTTGATGATAAAAAAGACTCAGCTTCTACTTAAAAATAAAAAAACATCAGCTCCATATGTAGTTTAATAACTACAGGAAAATTTGCAAAATAAACACAGAAAAGAAGCATATTTCATCCGGTTATCATTGCAAAAGGGTATCTACGAGCAATGAAAAAAGCCACTAGAATCAAGAGCCAGGGTGTTAAGAAAGGGTTCATTGCAAGTCCTTCCTGCATATATCAATGTGTGATACCCTGGGGATTAACAAGTCTTTGGGTAAGCGAAGTAGAAGTGGTACAAGTAGGTAATGCAGTTGGATAGTATAAATAAGAGGTTCAAGGGTTTAGAGTCATTCTGTTTGGTAGACACTTTTTGGGCGTCAGTCCTTGGGAGAGAATCTGGCCTCTTACAACCAGAAATTAGCATTGATTTTACTATTTGGATTCGGTTTACAACACAATGCTTGATATTATCTATCCCCTTTCAAAGAGCTCGTTCATAGTCCATCTCTGCACATCCTTACATTAACTACTACACTTTCTAGAGACCCTTTTAGCCATTAGCATCAACTTGAAGGATAAACTATTCGTTATGCAAGCCGGGGGGTCTCCACGGTAACAGCCTCTCTACCCCATTGGGTAGAGGTAAGGTCTGTGTACATCTTACCATACCTAACCCTACCTCTGTTGGTAGCGCACATATTGGCTCATAGTGTCGAGAGGGTGCTAGACGACTACAAATTGCCCACAGTGTCGAGTGCCTAGAGTGGTGAACCTTGGATATGATACCATGTGAGAATATGTGTAACTCCATTAGATTATACTCCAAGATAGCCCTTGAGGAGAGAGGGAGATTCCAATATATATTGAGGAGAAATGGTTAAAGTCCAGCCGATATGGAACTCCAACAATCAACTTGAGGGGTAAAATGGCTGATAGATGTCTAGCTAGCACCAAGCCTTGGTGACAGAAAGGACCTAAACGCTTCGGCAATAGTTACACATTATTTAACACTTCAATAACCTTCCAAAGCAATCTCCTGATCCTAATTTCTTCAACTTTCTTCCATAATGTCAAAGAAGATCTTCTAAGATTGTAGGGACTGATGACAAAAACAATGGAGAACATGGATCATAAAAGACTTCAAAAGAACCCTTGAAAGTGAAGAAACCAAAACCAATCACCGGTGTGCAGTAATGACTTGTGCAATCAACTCTATATGAAATTGATCAATAGAGGCACAGGGTCCTTCAACAGATGGATGCTACTAAGTACTCACATAGGAACACAATTCAACAAGGGAATGCAGTTTAGGGTTTAGAGAATGATTTCATTTCTGTCATCTTAATTTAGCAATGTATGGAATCGTGTCATTCAAAATCGAAACAATGTAATCAGTTTTCATGCATATCACCTGTTATTATTTAAAGCAATCCATAAAGTCTTATTAATTACCATCGTTATTGTTCTAATTAACCTCAAAACATCAATTAGAACTCAAATCCATAAATAACTTGCCTTAACATATGTACGATGAAAAAAATCAAGGTAACGAGCACACTAAATGCGCTAATTAAGGCTAAATCACGTTACTTTAACAACAAAACGCCCTAATTCTGTGTGCGAAAGAGGGGATGAAGTGTAACATACTCTATACGGGTACGGTCGGGAAGGTAACGAGTGAGGTTATCGTGGACCCAACTCTCGGCAGCCTTGACTGAAGAATTTAAGGTATGGAGCATGGAGTTAGGAATGCCGACGGTTACGCCAATGTTGGAGCCGGAGAGGGATTCGAGAACTTGAGGGTTGGAATCGAAGAGTTTCACTTTGGTGATTTTGTTGATTTTGAGTAGCTCAACCACCTTGGAAGGCGGCAGCGGGTGGGAGGCGGTGGTGCCCCAGTTTACCCCGATTGATTGAACCCTAGATGTGCAGGATATAGTAATGACGATGAGTGTGAACGCCATTAACGAGTGTAGCTGTAAAGCCATTGCAGTGTGTGTGACAGAATTTTTTTGGTTGTTGGTAATAAGTGAAGCTGATAATCGAAAAAATATTTATCAAACAAAAAACAAAATTATTCCTTAAAACTAAATAAATTTGGAATTTGTTTTTGGTATTGAAATGTAAAAAATAAACCTTAGCGGTCGTTTATTAAACGTTTATCTGAGTAAACGCTTAATAAGTCACATTATCTTACCAATAAGCTAGTTTATGGTATATAAGTTAGCTGATGACTGATAAGCTAAATGGTAACTGATAAACAATTCATGTTTGACAAAAACTAACTGATAAGTATGTACAGTGATAAAAAAAAAACATCTTGAAAAATTAATCAATTATAATATTTGTAATATAATTAAACGAAATATTTAATGATACAATATATTATATAAACAATATAGAAAATAAAAATTAAAAATAATATAATGTGTTAAGCAAATTTTTTTTTATATAATATAAAATTTTGGATTTGTTAAAATAAATTTTGAAAAAAATCTACATTAATTTATGATTTTAAATTATCATTACATATAATATAAAGAAAAATAAAATTATTCAACCTCACATATACTAATTAATTAGTAAATTTTTCAAAACTATAGTTAATAATTAAATTAAATATTTTGTTAAAATCGTTTAACATAATTTTATTATTTATGAAACAAAATAAATATAACTTTTATGTCTAATATAAATATCAATTGTTATATTTGTTTTCTGATAATTAAATACATTAAATAATAACTAGAAATAATAATAATAATATAAAAACAATTGATATGATTACTAATAATTGTAAATACTATTAGTGAATAATTAAAATTAATTAATAACTTTAAACTAATATTAATTAATTTTACTAATGTTAGTAATAAATTAATTTTTACTTACTAATAATTAATATTTATTTATAATTAATAGTAATAAATGTTAATGAGGATTATAATTGATAAATACATTTTTAAACCCATATTTATAATCAAAATACCTTCATTTGTATTGATTTTATGTATTTTATGAGCTATCTAAATCCCCGATTATATTTATTAATTTGCTTAGCAAAAAGGGAGTAAAAGTGTGGAAAAAGTGGCTAATGCTACTTTTTGGACGATTTCAGTCGCATCAAAGTCGCATTAGTCACTGAGAAACACAGTTTTATAAATGTCTGCACAGCTGAGCATATTTTTCAAATGTTAACTCGAAAAGGCATATCCTCTCAAATGATTGATGGCTTGAGCATACTTTTCAAAAGACAGCTCATTTAGTTGGTTGATGGGTTTTAGGGTTTCTAAAGGTTTATAAGCCATATATTATTAGAGAGATCGATCATAATTTTGCATAGAACAAAGGGAGTAGCAAAGGAGGCTTTAATCACGTTTTATTTCCGTTAATTAGGTAGCATATAATTTAGGTTTCGTAGTTGCATTCATAGTTAGCATTCTCTTTCCATTCAAACAATGAGATTGTAATCATTTGAAGATTGGATTTGTATTGGGACTTCCAGTCTAAATACGTTTTCCTCCACGCTTCATTTATGTTAATCTTGGTTGAACATCTTCATCATTGTTTGGTTGTCCAAGTTGATCGGGCCCGTTGATTTGTGTAACCTTACTTTGAATTTCTAACTGAAATTAAGGATCTGTAATTGTCCTTAGTCTTGATAAAGTAGAAACTAACACTTCGAAATGACCATCAAATTGTTTGTAATGTGTTATAGGTTTTCATAATCCAACTTAAATGATTGAGCGTCTCACATTAGCTAGAATCGGTGTTTATCTCGCTATTAATGCAATTAGTAGCTCAACTTCTATGTTTGTAACTACATCTGTTTTAACTAATTAGGGACTTGCATTGAGCTTCTCATGATAGCCTAATCGTAAGAATAAACATAGTGTGTAATACGTATCAGCACTTATGGCCAGTCTAGAATCGATCGAGAGAATGTATTTGGGAAGTCAATGATACAAAAGTCTCAACTTTAATTGGATTATAACTCGTTACTAGAAGCTTTGTTTTAATCATTTATCATCTTTAATTATTCGTATGCTTAGTCTAGTATTTCAATCCAACCCTCCCTTTACATAAAGCGTAGAAGTTCGACACATTCACGTCCAACTCCTGTGGATTCGACCCTGCTTACCACCGTTACAATTTAGGTTGTAATTTACGGTAAATAGGACTTTATTATTTGTCGGGCTCGGCACCTATCAATAATTGAGAAAAATGACAAAAAGAACGTTTTTATAACCTACTCCAATTAGCTTTCAATAAGTTAGCTCATAAGATAACTTATGTTCATCCAAACGTGCACTCAAAAAAGCTAACTTATATTTATCAAACAATGACTTAGGGGGTGTTTGAGATTGCTTATAAAAACAACTTATTGACTTATTCTGGTGTGACACCGGTAATAAGCACTTTTGAGTGTTTGGATAAACAACTTATATTGATGTCAAACTGGTAATAAAAAGTTTTTGAAAAAGTTAATGTAATATTCGGATTATTATTATTAAATCTTCTTTATGTTTTTATGAATATTTTATTAAAAGTATGTGGGTGTGGGTGTGGGTGATATGTTTATATGAATATTTTATTTAGAAATATGTGGGTGTGGGTGATGTGGTTTTGATTGAGCCGACCTTTGAGGGGCGGTCTAAGTTTATCTAAATATTTTGTGTAGAAGTGTGTGGGTGTGGGTGACGTGATCATGATAGCCGACCTTAGAGAGGCGGTCATACACTTAYTATAAATAGCAAGTGTATGTGAAAGAAAAGAGGCCTAGCACACCTTTGAAACACTTTCTACATTAGGAAAGACTCCTTGGTGAATCTTACAGTTTGGCAGAAAAAGAAGAAGAGTTCAAAGCTAGGATATCTGATTTCTAATGTGAGTGTATTAATGCTTTGAGTATAAATTGTTTACATACAATTTAGTAGTATTTGGAACTGGTTATTATGAATATAATACGTTGAAATATATGTTTAAGTCTGGTTAAGTTATACCAGAGGCTCTGGTCGTATGACCAGAAGCTCTGGTAGAGAGACCAGAGGGGCTCTGGTAGAGAGACCAGAGGTGCTCTGGTCGAATATGTGAAATATATATTATAAAGTCTGGTTGTTAAACCAGAGGCTCTGGTCATGTGACCAGAAGCTCTGGAAAAGAGACCAGAGGGGCTTTGGTAGAGAAACCAGAGGTGCTTCGGTTGAGTATGCTCTAAGATATATATATATTCAAAGTATGGTTTGGAACCAGAGGCTCTGGTCATGTGACCAGAAGCTCTGGAAGAGAGACCAGAGGGGCTCTGGTAGAGAGACCAGAGGGGCTCTAGTCGAGAGTGTTAAAATATATTCTAAGGCTAACTTAGTTCAACCAGAGGTTCTGTCGTGTGACCAGAAGCTCTGGAAGAGAGACCAGAAGGGCTCTGGTCCAAATATGTTGAAATATTTTCTAGTGTGATTTAGAACCAGAGGCTCTGGTCATGTGACCAGAAGCTCTGGAAGAGAGACTAGAGGGGCTCTGGTCCTAATTATCGTTATATTTTTCTAAGTATTGTTTGAAACCAGAGGTCCGATGGACCAAAGCTATGTGTTTAAAATGGCGGTGTAACCGCGAGAGAGATGAAATGGCGGTGTAACCGCGAGAGAGATGTAATGACGGTGTAACCGCGAGAGAGATGTAATGGCGGTGTAACCGCGAGAGAGATGAAATGGCGGTGTAACCGCGAGAGAGATGAAATGGCGGTGTAACCGNGAGAGAGATGTAATGGCGGTGTAACCGCGAGAGAGATGAAATGGCGGTGTAACCGCGAGAGAGATGAAATGGCGGTGTAACCGCGAGAGAAAGAGATAAATATGTTTATATATCAAAACAGGTTTGCTTCTAAACTTATTGTTTAGAATGTTTGTTGTTTGTTTAAGATTTATACACTCACTAGACCTTTTTGGTCTAACACTCAGTTGTTGGATTAACTGGTTTTGCAGATCATCATACCTTCCAGGATAAAGGAAAGGGAAAAATTTAGTGTTGATAGCATTTTGTTTACTCATATATGTATTAAAGAAAGTTTTTGTTAGTCCATGTTTTGTAACAATACTTTTTTTAGTGTTATGAGTATGATGATGTGAATTATCTATTCATGGGCTATACGGGTTGTTTCAGTTAAACCCTTCTGACTTATAATAAGTTGATAAGTGCTTTTGTAGAAAAATATAAGTTATTTCAAATAAACAATCCCAAACACCCCCTTAATGGTTATTTTTGAGAATCTAGAAATTGAAATGAGCATAACCAACATAAAGGACTGATTTAAACTAAAAGTGAAGTGCAAGGACTAGTTGTAAGCTTTTCAGATAAATATAGATAGAACTTGTGGAATGGGTAGTGACTAGTGAGGAGTGAAGCAGTGGAACTGTGGAAGCTCTAGGGCGAAGACGAGAGGAAGACATGGCTGCATCAACAGGGGAGTTAGTGTGCGTAACCGGCGGAAGTGGCTATATCGGCTCGTGGCTCGTCCGCCTTCTTCTTGATCGCGGCTACACCGTCAACGCCACCGTCAAAGATCTCAGTTACGCCTCTCACCACCCTACTCCATGCACAAAAGTAGCTTAAATTGATTCAGTTTTTATAATTTATAATTGTTTAATTTCATTGCGATCGAAGTTATTTGTGGTTTTGGAGCTAATTTCAGCAAGTATATGCGAATGTAGATGACGAGAAGGAAACCAAGCACCTAGAAGCATTGGAAGGAGCAGAATCACGTCTCCGCCTCTTCCAAATCGATCTCTTGGATTACGATTCAATTGTCGCTGCCGTCACCGGCGCATCCGGTGTCTTCCACTTGGCTTCTCCTTGCATCGTTGATCAAGTCCACGATCCTGAGGTAATTTACTGTTTCTGTGTTGGTTTGGGGGTGAGGGTGGACGGATCTGCTCCAAGGGATTAACGGTAGACTGGATCTTGATCGATGTAGATGATGGAAAAATTCCGTACAACACATGCAATTAAATCAGGATGAAGAAATAAAACTCATAGATGATCACGTCTTAATGAAGATTAAAATGAAATCAAGAAGTAAAACTCATCGTCATCGACCATCACGCTGAACCGTGGATGAGAAAACCACAACCGGCTAAATTTGACGCCACCGTGGTGCAACTGCAACCTAGAAAGCCCAATATTTATCAGCGATAATGGGACAAAATGATCAAAAAGCCTGAGGAGGTTTTATAAGAACCTCATTTTTGCACTTTTTGTTGCAAACTCGTCTCCTGCTCATCAAATTAAGAAATCCTAACAGTCTGTAATGGTAGTTCTTATAGAACCTCCTTTTTGTAGGTCTGATTGATTTTTTCAACATCAACACTTATTATAAAGCCAAAAAAACAAAAAAGAAACAAAGAAAATGTCACTTTACACAAACTTCGTTCTTGTACAAGAGCCTAAAGGGGATGAGGTCCTTAAAAGAACCCACAACAATGATAGTTACTACGAGTCACTTCACTTTTTGCTGCTAATAACCTTGTATCGGAGATGCCTCCGCTTTGTTCTCAAGTTTTGGAAGGAAAGAGAAGGTAAGGAAAAGAAAGATTTTTTTTTTGTTTGTGTGGGTGATGGAAAGGGAAGGAAAGACCAGAGAAATGAAAGGAAATGTCATTTTTACAAATATACCCTTAGTCTATTTTATAATGAAATATAATTTTATAAATATTTTAATTGTTATAAATTCTTTTCTTTCCTTTCCTTCCCTTCCCTCCCCGTTTGGAGGAAAATCAACATGATTTTCTTTCTTTCCCTCCCCTCCTTAAAAAAAAATCGAGATTGATATCTTTTTCCTTTCCCCCTACTTTCCTTCCCTTTCCCTACCTTTCCTTAGTAAAAAACTCGAGAACACAGCACAATGAAGAAAAATTGGTTGTCTATTTAGGGGGTGTTTGGGATTTGCTTATTTGAAACAACTTATGCTTTTCTATAAAAGCACTTATCAACTTATTATAAGTCAGAAGGGTTTAACTTCTTTAAAAACTCTTTATTACCGGTTTTGCACCGGTATAAGTTGTTTATCCAAACACTCAAAAGTGCTTATTACCGATGTCACACTGGAATAAGTCAAGAAGTTGTTTTTATAAGCAATCCCATATATTAATACAAAAAATTCACATGTAAAGGTAACTTGTGTTTCATTGAAACTACTACTTCTTACAATCTGTTTTGAAACTGGTCAAACTTGATATGAGCGTTATTTAAATTTTGAGGAAGATCAATAACTAGATCCAAAATATATAAGAATCTGTTAATTGGTTGATATGATAATTGGTTGAAAATACAACATTAGATATGGTTATTAATTGTTCCCTGGTGTATGATTGATAGAAGGAACTGTTGGCACCTGCCCTCAAGGGGACAAACAATGTACTCACAGCGGCAAAGAATCTGGGAATTAAGCGTGTGGTTGTCACTTCATCTGTTTCATCCATTGTACCTAGTCCTAACTGGCCTGCTGATGTCCCAAAGAATGAGGATTGCTGGACTGATGTGGAATATTGCAAGCAAAAGGAGGTCAGAGGCTCTGTTTTTTGCATGTATCAGTAAGATAAATACTTTGTTGATCATGCTCCTCTCATATTCCGAAAAACCTTAAGATCAGGTAAGGAACAAAATGATTACACGTAGACTCGACCAAACCCAAATCGAGTTTACCCAACTTTCCTAACTTGCACGTAACAATAACCGTGAAACAATAGTACAATATCAACTATAAAAGCTAAGTTAGATATCAATAGCCAACAGAAGTAGTTACACAAAAAGCATAAGCGAATAGCAATAGCCATTAAAAGTAGCAGTTAATCACAGAACAGAAGCAAATAAAAATAGTCAATAGAAGCAGAACCAGATATAAATAGCCAACAGAAGCATATAGCAATAACAAGCTCAGGTGCTTAAAGGTTAAAGGTTAAACTAGTTGTCCGTTGAATTGTTAGTTAAGTAGCCAAGCAGATAGAGATAACAGTGGCCGATAGAATCAGACCTTGGTAACAGATTAAAGGACACGGAGAAGCAGAAAACTAAGGGTCATTTAACATTTCACATTTTTACAAATTTTCTTCTCTAATGTAATTAGTTAATACATTTTGGGCCCTTATTATCGACTAAATTTTGCTCCGACTCCTATTATATACCAAAACAATTTTGGGTCTATTTTATCTACTATTTTTTTACTACTACAATATACCAAAAAAAATAAAATAAAATTGGGCCCGTAGTTTTTTTGGGCCCTCAGGTGGCCGCTTGGCCCACCCCCAGGAACGACGCTGGTTCCGAAAGAAAATGATCATGTGGCTCATGTAGCATTCTTGGAAATGAAACTGTTTGCACAATTGCACTAACATGTGTGGTTAGTAACAGACTAACAGGGAACCTTTTTACCACGCAAAGCTACTTGATTGTTTTGCTTCTCGAATTCGGTGAATTTTTGTAGTTGTGGATAGACGGTTAAAAGATTGTATTTGGTTTCTGTCAAAAATATAAATCTATCAGACTGCCGTTTGTTCTTGCTTTTTGATTGTACAACATGGTGTATTTTTTTGTGCATAAGAACTTGAGTGACCTTTTTGTGATGTCAGTTATGGTATCCACTCTCCAAAACACTAGCTGAGAAAGCTGCATGGGATTTTGCTAAGGAGAAAGGTTTAGATGTGGTTGTGGTGAACCCTGGAACAGTGATGGGTCCCATTCTTCCTCCAACACTTAATGCTAGCATGCTAATGATTCTGCGTCTTATCCAAGGTAACAGACTTGAACATTCATGTGATGATATGTGGAACCCCATTAGATTACTCTCCAAAAGAGCACTTGAGTAGAGAAGAGAGGTTCCAACATATATCGAGGATAAATATCCCAAATCTAGCCGGTGTGGGACTCCAACACGTCCCTTCCAATTGAGGCCGAGGGGCTAGACCGGTGCAGGTTGCCCATAGTGTCAAGTCCCTAATGCCATTGATGCCATTAAATTATTCTCCAAAAGCTCCCGTAAGGAGAAAAGAGAGGTTCCAACATATATTGAGGAGAAATGGTCCAAATCAATCGATGTGGGATTCCAACACGCCCCCTCCAATGGAGGCTAGACATACATAGTTTGTCCTTGAGTGTCTAGAAGACTATATTGAGTGTCATGTCTCTAGAGTGGTAGAGCTTGGCTTGATCTCATGTCATAATATTTAATACCCTATTAGATTACTCTCCAAAAGAGGCATTGAGGAGAGAAGAGAGGTCCTAAAATATATTATGAAAAATTGTCCAACTCTAAGCAATATAGGACTCCAACAGTTCCATGCGATTCCATTCAAGCACATACAGTGGCGGACCTACCTTGACGGGAGCGGGGTCCCGTGCTACCGCTCAACCTTAATCTGTAAGAAGGAATTCTTTTTGGTTACATAAGGTGCACCCGCTAAAGTTTGGGGTGTGCTCCGAGATATTAGAGTTTTTGAAGGGTTAAAGGTGCACATGCATTGAAATCAATCAAAAAAATCGAAAAATTCTCTTGGAGAAAACCAAAAAAGTCTCTTGAAATCAACCAGAAAAACATTAAAAAGAAAACCCAAAGACGGAATTCGGCTAAAAACACATCGAGTGACTTTACGGGCATTTCTGCACAAAGATTCATGTTCTTCTGTTTCTTGAAATTGAATGCAAGCAGCAAGCTCATTTTGTTTTGGTGCAGGATGTACGGAAATATACGAGGATTTCTTCATGGGTTCAGTTCATGTTAAAGATGTGGCCTTAGCCCATATATTGGTGTATGAAAACACTTCAGCAACTGGAAGACATCTCTGTGTTGAAGCCATTTCCCATTATGGTGATTTGGCAGCCAAGGTTGCAGAATTATACCCAGAGTATAACATCCCCAGGTACGAAATCATTATGAGTAATCTGCTTCTGGAACTTCATTTTCTTTTAAAATAACTTCTAAGAGCATCTCCATCAGACTCTTCAAAATTTCTCCAAAATGAGAATCAAATCAAAATCTCCAAAAAAAAATTACATTCAACTTATATTTTAGAGATTACAACATTGATTATATAATCAAGGGTTGGGTTATGATGAGAATGAAAGTTATCATGAGGAGGGTAAGAAGGGATATCCATCTTTGGATCAATCCTAATTGAAGAGAACCAACTAGATCAACACTAATAAGATACACTAGATCAATTTCCTTCTAAAGTGAAATTCATGGGTTGTTTTGGGATTAAAAATGATCAAGGGTCTAAATCCCTTCTTATACTTCTCAGTTCTCACTTTAACTCTTATTCTCTCATGATCCTTCGTCATATAGTTAAAATATATAGATTTACCATTCCAATAAAATTCCGAATAAGTATTATATAAAATGATAATACAATTAACTCAATTGGTGGAACTATAAAAAGCAAATTCTCTCGCTTAGCAATCATTTTTGAAGAATTCTTCAAAATTTCCTTAAAATGTTGAATCTAAATTTAAAACCTCCAAGAAAACAATTACATTTAACTTCAACAGCTTCTGAATTTGTAGACTGCAACATTAATTATATTTAATTCTCTTAGCTAAACATTTAATTTTACGGTTTCTTATTGGTTAGAATATAATAAAAATTATTTTTCTCTCATGGTAATCATTTTTTGAGAGTTGTCCAAATTTAGGAATTTTAAGCCTTCTCTCCTACTTTCTCCATTTTAAAGAATCTGTTGGAGAAAAACATTAAAATCTCCAAAATCCCACTTTTCTCGGTCTGTTGGAGATGAGATGCTCTTAAATACCCGAACCTTGACTTCCATGAACTTGAAACAAAAAATATATATAATGCTCTGGAGGGTCTAGTTTGGCTGCTTGTTAATATGTGAAATCCTATCTAAAAGCTCTGTGTTATAAGTATGATACTCATTAAGATCACATCTGAATTCATGAAAACACAAAATATACTCTGTAGTCTTGTATGTATAATTGTCGTAAGGAAATGTAACAAGTAAAAGTGAGATCGAGGTGTAAATGGTTTACGATGATGAAAATTTTGTATAGGTTGGCGAAAGATACGCAACCTGGGCTACTAAGATCAAAGGCTGCATCTAAGAAGCTCATGGAGTTGGGTCTTGAGTTCATTCCTGTGGACCAGATTATCAGGGACAGTGTTGAGAGTTTGAAAAGCAAAGGGTTTATATCTTGAATGGGATCTGTTTAAAGATTATTACCACCTTTCTTAACTAAATGATCGTAGCTAGTTATGTTAATATCCTCTGTTTTATGATGTGTTTGTAATGTATGCCAGTAAGAACTCTTGACTTCTCTTTTTTATTTCCCTATTTTCTTTTGTAATTTTTGGGGGTAAACCAGTTGGGTTGTGTAGGGGATGTAGTAGAAACCTCATCTTCTCTGGATTCGAATTTGGGTGCTGCCAAAGCCCTTGTGACCATGAGGTTCACGTGCTATAACTCTAGGCCATCCATGGTTGCCCTGTAAGATGACCTGGATACCTATCTCTAGGCCATCCATGGTTGCCCTGTAAGATGACCTGGATACCTATAGCATTGTGCACCTTCGCAAGTAATTTTTTTTACAGCATGGGAGGTGTACCTGTTAAACTTTGTGTGTTGCTTTGGTATTATTATAAATGCAAGGGATATCAACAAAAAAAAATCAAAAAAGTGTCTCAAAATCAATCATAAAAACGAAAAAAAATGCACTCGATCGAGAAAACTCCAGTGTGCGCCAGGGCCACTGCTCATGGTCACCTGAAAAGAATCATGTGAGTGGTCGGTCACATTGAAAGGGTCTATTTACTAAATAATTGTTGCTTCTTGCCCGGTAGTAGCTGGTACGAATAATGTTGTTTATCCACAACTTCTAACAGATTTTTGCGGATCTCATAAGAATAAGTATTTTTCTACTTGCAAAATTTGAAATTCTAATTAAATTTTTTATATTTTTTTAAACAATTACAAAATTTGTCATATTTTCTAATGAGTTGTTTATATTTTACGATTATTAAAAAAAAAATAATGAGGTAGAACTTTTTGACATTTAAAAATATAAAAATGTTTGATATCAAGTCTATAAAACTAGATCTTAATTAATTTACAAATTAAGTAAAAAATTAAAGAGCAAATTATATATTTCGTTTATGTGGTTATATATATATATATATATTATATTATAATGCATTTGACAAAAACTCTTATGCATGAAGTATTGTTTATTGATGCATATTACTTAAAATTCAAGATTACAAGTAAATTGTGCGTAAGTACAACTTATTAAAGCTACATGTTTGAATTCGTGTAACTAACTGCAGATAAATATAATCGAGAGAATAAATATCTCATTTTAAATATAAAAATTTAAAATATAATTAAGATAATCATTGAATTATAACAAAATACTTAAAAAGTATATTAAACAAAAAATAAATTATTTTATTATTAAACTTAAATTAAATTATAATAAAAAATAAATTAAAAAAATTACATAAAAAATAGAACTTTAAAATAGTTGATTTGATATTAACATTGATATATTTTTTTTCAAAGTTATATTTTATTCAAAAATAATATCATTATTGCTTTCTTAAAAACACATAAAATCATATTATAACATCGACAATGACAAATAATAAAATAAAATATTAAAATCGAGATGTGTCTCGCTGCATGTACACTTCTAGTAAATTATAATAGGGTCATCTAAACAAAATAATTACAGCTGTAGTCTTTATAATTTCATTTTCGTTGCGGATTGGGTCCCTTAACTTAACATGGCTAACTTCAGCTCCTTTAAGTTCAGGATAACTTGATCTTTTTTAACTTTAAAATAAAAATAACACAATCTCAATATTTATATATATATATATAAAATATAATATGTATTATAAATGTTATTATATACTATATACATGTATAAATCTCATTGTGCCCTCGTAAAAAAGTTTCCCTTACAATACATCATCTCACCGACGCCATATATCTTCTCTGACGATACTCCCTTCTCATTGCCACCCCCATATACGACTCCTTCCCCTGTCACCAACCAACTCCTTCCAACTCGGCTGGTGAACAAAATCGAGTGAATCCAGAACTGCTTGGGTTGATGGTTGAAGAAATCGACGTGAATACAAGATAGAGTTAAACACATAATCGAGTGTATCCAAATCTTATCGTTTCTTTAAGTGAATTCTTGGGTTGAAGACAAGAAGGAACCATCTCTTGAAGACACAGTGTCCTTAAAACAAATTCGTCCCACTATGAACGTTTGTTTCCCAGGATACAACAACAATAACGGTTCTTCAAGACCAGCAAACCTAAGAAGGCCCGAAAATTACCTTGACAGTAGGTAGTTAACACATAAGTAAGAAGAATAATAGACAAATTGTATTTCAGTATATTTTCTGGTTGAAGGAGTGGTCTTATTTATACAGCCACTTTCGTAATCGATAGGCCAAAATTAGTACGGTCTTAATGATGAAATCAAAACCGAAATGGTATTGATTCAGGCTTTGATTATGCAAAATGTGTCTGAACTTTTTGGTCGACCAATGATGCATTCGTGTCCACAGAACGCACACACACAAGTTCAGTTAACCGAAGCCATTTCCGGTGGACATTTGCACCCCCCCCCCCTGCGTGCGCAAGAGAGAGCCTTGGTGCTATAAGTCCTACAATCTCATGAATTGTTTTTACTTATAAACCTTCTTTCTTTTTACTCGTGGGATGGCTCAAATACCCATTTACCCACTTTATATTCCCTTCTAATACATTACTTGGTTGATTAATTTCATTCATACAAAGTCCGTTTTTGACGTTCAATGTCTCGAAACGAAGATATTATGGAGAAGAATATCAAACTACAATAATCTACATAAATTGAGATTATTTAAGTTCCAAGTATTATGCTCCAAAATGAGAAAACCCCATTTCTTTCCACAAATCCATATCCTATCTTTTTCTTCTAGTGAATCCTTAGGTTGAAAATATCGAAGGAGACATTCAGAAACAGACAAAAATTAAAAGTTCTGCATCAGTTTCTTCTTCTCTGCGATTTCAGGTTTTTATTAAATATATGATTAGGGTTTTGCCAATGATTTTTTTATATGGATTTGAATCAATACGAGTTATACCCAATGACGTTCATGGCTTTTAGTATGATATTTGACTACGATTGACCACAAACTCTCAAATTTTTTTTATTTTGATTGCAAACTTCTAAAACTTTACATATTTTGAATAAAAACATCTGAGATCATATTTGAAACCATCAATTACAAGAAACCACCAATCTTTTCTTCAATATTTATTACATGGGTTCATTGAATATATATAATACATAGTTATAGCCATAGTTTCATTTGAGAAGTGGTAAATATTTGAGAATTAGAGAAGTGATCCTAACCCTTCAATCTGGTCAAGATTTGTGACTTTGACTGTGAAGCACCGGATAATTTCTCGCATGGTATGTGTAAGATATAGGGGATAATTTTGTAACTTCTACAAACGGCAAAACAAGTGCATATGTAAACCTGTGTGATTCATAGTTCATATGTGAAACCGTGTGATACACATATGAACTATTTAACTGATTCACATTGAACTCGTGTGATTTACATATAAACTAATTAATTGATTGACATATGAACTATGGATTCACGTATGTACTTATGAGTTTACATATGCATTTGTTTGCGCCTATTAGTAAAAGTTACTAAACTACCCCTCTAATTTTTGCTTGACCAGTCAAAGCCTCAATTCTTTACCACTCTTGACCGTATGAAAAGCTAATATCACTTATTTACTTCTCAGATACTTATCAATTTCTTAAATGAACCTCTCTATGTAGTTATATAGACATACATATATTATACAGGTGGAGGAGGTTCTTAAGTTCACCACCTTGTGATCCTCCAGACCTAGAATCAGAAGAGCCTGCTGGATCACCTTGCATATGTTGTATGATCTTTGACTATGTGTTGTTTGCCCCATTGATCTTCGCCCGAATCTCGACAACATCCTCACTTGGCAGCTTTCCTCAACAGCTCCGATTTCAAGCCACTTCACTAAGTTGCTTGTCTATGTACTCATTCAAATTCTTCTCATCGATGTAAATGGTTGTTTTATATTTTTAAAGAAATAAAAAATAAAAGGACAATATTATGCCTCACTTAACGGAGCAAAGGTTAGTGGAGTTAGGGCAAATGGCCCAATCCATAAAAAAGTGAAACCATGGTGACCATACGTATAATTCTTTCGTTTGGGAGACCCAATCCAAAATTTTCAATAACCACAGGGACGGAATTTGTAATTTACGCAAAACTAAATTAAATATTTGAGATGAAACGTCTTCATTTTTAAACATAAAAAATAAAAATCTTAAATACATTATCCAATACTAGAAGGGTACGCGTAATGCAGCGATATACATATCGATTTTAATGTTTTGTTTTATTTTTTGTCTCTGTCGATGTTATAGTACGATTTTATGTGTTTTTAAGAAAACA